TCAGGCTGACCAAGGAGAACAGTTGAGAAAGGGGAGCCAGAAAACAGCAGAAAGGAAGGAAAGCAGCCAAGGAGGCTGCCAAGGGGGGAAAAATCCAACCAAAACCACGGTGTGCACGGACTGAGAAGGCAACACGGACGAAGACAGGGAGGGAAAACACACAAAACCTTCAAAGAGCACTGGGAAAAGAAGATATGGAAGGAAAAAGGGTGGGTACGTGGGGCAGAAGAGCTTTTGCTGGACAGGACAGTGAGGTTTTTGTAAAAACCTTTTGGTTCAGAGGGAGAGAGGAAAAGCAGGGCAGAGACAAAGCCCTGGCTGCTGGTGGCACTGCTGTCCCTGTGCTGGCTCTGGGTGGAGGGTCTGCCCCTGCACTGCCCTCCCCAAGCCTCCCTTGAGCTGTGGGAGGAGGACAGGGGTGACACTGGTGGGGGGCACCTGGCAGGGGCAGGGCAGGGGATGCCACAAGCCACCCGTGGTTGTCCCAGGGCTTGATGCTCCAGCGTGGCTCCAGGGATGTGCTGCACGTGGAAGTGGAGCAGGGAAGGAGCAAAAACCAGCTCGGTGTCCCCATGAGGGTTTGGTTTTATCATCAGCTGGAAGGAAGGGGGCAGCCCAAAGTGCAGCCTTACACCCTGGGGAAAACTCTGGTCTGGCCTGAAGTTTGTATTTCTGTAGTTCAGGGCTCTTTGGTAACGTGTAAAATGAATGTGATCCTCTCCAAGCTCAGAGAAATGTGGTGTTCAGTCTGGGTTTGAGCTGTTTGACTTCAACCCACGGGCAGAAATTAAAGATGTCCTTAAAAAAGCCTTTTAAGAAGAATCTGTTCCCATGTAGCCAAAGTTCTGTGGATTTGTTCTGTAAATCAGACAAATTAAATGAGATGGCAGGAAACTCAGAGGCTGGGGAAGGGTCTGTCTGCTCTGGTGCTTTAGAACAGGGACACCACACTGAAAACCAGCCCAAACCCTTATTTAAAATGCCTATTTTAACACGTGATCTTTTTAGCCTCTTTTGTTTTTTTTTTAATTGTACAAGATTTGAGGGGGGGGGGATAAGGAGAACTTTATGTTTCTGGTACCACAGAGCAGAGCTGGGTGCCCACCTGCAAACACCTCCTGCTGCTTTCAGCTCCATTCTAAGTCAGTGGAAGCTCCCAGGGGCTGAATAATTGGATTTCTGTGGATAACTGGTGTCTCCAGACAGATGTTCATGTATCTACTCATCGATCTGAAGTAGCTGGAACCTGATCTAGTTGGGTTCCTTCAGCTGAGTTCAGTGGCCAGAAACAAATCAAAGGAAATAGAGAAAAGCCACAGCTGCCTCATTTTAAGGGTATGTTTAATTTTCCTTTCATTTTAAATCCCAGCACGCTGAGGGAGGATCTCTTAGGAAGCTGTATCTGAATTCTTGCTGCTACATAAAGGCAGAGCCAGATTTGGGTTTAGCTTGAGCCTCTTTTAAAAAAGTCCTATTTTTATGTGGTCACAGTTCAAAAACACAGCACAGGAGGAGCTGTTGGGATTTGGATCCATTGAACCAACCACAGTGGGGTGCAGGGACTGGATTTGGTGGTGGTGGAATGATGGAAACAGTGAAAAAAGCCCTGTTGAGTTGGATGGATTCTCAATTCCACCAACGTGAGATGGTTATAATCCCCCTCTGAAACTGGGAGGGTCAATGCTAAAAGCTTCCAAAGAATCACCCTCAAAATGCAAATTTCCAGCCACCCTGTGAGTTTTTGGGGAGGGCTGCACGGCCTGAACTGGGTCTGCTCCATAACTTTGGCTCCAAGTGTCTCCCCCTTTCCACTGTGTTCCCGCCCAGGCAGTGTCTGACAGGCAGCACTTCGGGGACAGAAAAGCATTTTTGTGGTCCAATTAAAAAAAGTTTCTCCCAAACAGACAATAAGTTGGAGCGATTTCTTCATCTGACTGTCTGAAATGTTTGCTGTTACAGTAATTTCTTCCACGAGGGTGTTTAAGGAGCCCTTCTGGCGTTGTCTCTGTTTAATGGCTTGTTCACTCCTACAGCACTGCCTACTCTAATTACTCCAATCTAATTAAGAGGAGGAACAAACAACATACTACTGAAGGGCCAGAGAGACAAAAGAGCTGCAGGAAGATAAATGGGGATCTGTTGGCGGGGTAATTTGCTCGTTAGCACCCTCCTTTCCCAAAATTAGCCTAAATGGAAGCAGAATGAGAGAGAAGAAACACTGAGAGAGAGAGAGAGCAGAGACGTACTTAGAAAGACAAACTGATGTGCCATAGTTTCGAAGACCAGAAAAAGGTTACAAAAATAATATATATATAAAAAAATAATAAAAAGCAGAAGATCCAAAATCCAGTCTGCTTGGAAAAGCAGAGGAAGCACCAGAAAAGTCCAGAAGAACAACACCAATGGCACAGAAAACCGGCAGCCACTTCAGCCACGGCACGAAAAGCTGGTGGTTTGGCAGGAGTTGGGGGGAGGTTGGTCTACCTTATAGGCAACACGAGCAGGGCATTTCTTTCCAAGGCCTAGAGGTGGGGACATGTGTCTCAGCATCTCATACATGTCTGTGTAACTGATGCGACCGCTGGGAGCCACGGGGAGGGAGGCGACAGCAGGACACGGGAATCAAAGCGGACCGGGTGGAGGAGGAGGAGAAGGGGAGGAAAAAAAAGGGGGAAGGGGGTGGGGGAAAAGGCAACACAGTGGAGCAAATGAAAAGGAGGAGAGAGAGAGAAGGGAAAGCAGACAAGAGAACAGAGATCTGGTTAATCAGATTTCTCAGGAGAACAGAAGCAAAACGAAGAGGAGGGTGAATAGGAAGGTTTTCTTCCGTTGCTGTTGTTTCAGCGCCCAACGTGTGCTCCTGGCGGCAGGGACAGCCCCCGGCAGAGCCCGGGGGTCCCTCGGGGGAATGATTGATGGCTCTGCTCTGGGACAGGCGGTGGGGAGGGCTGGGGGTTGGCTGGAGGGCTGGGGGAGGCTCCCCCTTCTCGCCCCCCACCCCAGGCAATCCAGAGGCTGGAGTTCACCATGCCAGGGAGGGCTGGCAGGCAGAGTTATGGGACAGGGAGAGAGACAGGGCTCCCAGCACGCTCAGCTCTGGGATAAAAGGGGCAGCTTGCCTTCTGGGAACGAGGACTTGGGGTTTTTAGGGGAGCCAGTGGGTTAGGAGGGAAGCAAAAAGCCAATCCTGGTGTGTTTGCTCGGGGACAGACTGGGACGGCCGCGCCCAGGGTGTGACTCTGCCAACCCTGAGCCAGCCGGGATTTCTGCTCCAGCCTGAGCTCAGCTTTGGCAAAACCAGAGCCCAGCACTCAATTTTCAGGAGGGGGACCTATTTTTCTCCCTTTCATTCGGTGGGGCCCCTCTCTCATCAAGCCAGCCTCTCTCATCAAAATCCCTGCTGGCTCCTTCCACCCTCCTCCATCCTCTGCTCTCCATCACTGCAGGACATTCCCTGTGCTTCTCCTGGGCTCATTTCTTGGCCAGACAACTGGTTGTCTCCACCACCAAGGGCAGCTGTCCTGTTCCCAGTCCCAGGAGCTGGGAATGGCAGAGATTTGGGGAAAGGCCCTTAGCCCACCTCATTACTGAGGTCATCTACCTTCAGCACACGGTGGTGGTGGAATAGAACCCTGCCCTGAAAACCAAGGGGTGCAGAAGCAGCAAGGAATTCTCCTCCTTCACCTTTTTCTAAGTGTTAAAATTGGGAACATGACTCTGACAATCTGATTTGGTTTTCCCAGCGAGCTGCCTGCTTATTATAATGTGCAAATCTGTGCTGCCTGTCAGCTGAGGAGACCCAAGGATACTGCAGCATGTTATTAATTAAAGTTTAACCCCTGGAAAAGCAGGACTATCATCTCCTCTATCTCAGGAGGGCAACCAAGACCTAAGCACCCCTATAAATCCCCTTTTCCAAGCAGGACAGCTACAGAGGCAGAACCTGCAGATCAGCCCAGTGTCCTGACATGGGTCTCAATTCCTATATGAGGAGGAGGGGGTGGAAGAGAGAACCTACCCAGCCAAAAACATCTATTCCTGTCCTTGGTAACTGATGCAGTTAAAATACCACCCAGCTTTTATAGCCCAGAGCTCATTTAAAGGCTGCTGAGAGACACAAATTGTAATTGGAGCCAATGTCTTCCCCCTGGCTCCTCTCCTGCTCCTGGGCTGGGGCTGGGGGGTCTCCTGCCTCCTCTGCAAAGCTTGGGAGCTCTTAATCCCCAGGCAGGTGTGGAAAACACCTGGGCTGATGTGGAAGAGAAAATCCCTGCTGGCTGCTTCCACCCTCCTTCATCCTCTGCTCTCCATCACTGCAGGAGATCCCCTGTGCTTCTCCTTCTCCTGGGCTGATTTCTTGGCCAGACCTGTCCTTAATTCCCCTCCCCTCAGCTCCCAGGCGTGGTACAGCTTCCCTGTGCCATGAACAGGAGGTTTCCCTGGGTGTCCATCCCAGTTTGGAGACATAATTTGGCCCCCAAGGCAACCTGTGAGAAGCTCATCCCTCACTTCCCCCCAGCCCAGGTAACCACCCTGCTGTGCTGCCCAGGCAACCACTGTCCAGATCCGATGTCTTCTGGGCTCAGGAGAGGGAAGGTTGGTCACTCAGCTGGAGTGACAATGCTACAAAACCCAGACAAAGTGGAATTGCCACTCCTTGGGGTGCCATTTCCCTCCGGGGTGTGAATATATATATACATATATATATATATAAAGTGCTGGGATGCTTTTCCCCAACACTTCCCCCCAGAACCTTCAGGATGGGAGCTGGAGGGTTCACTGTCTCATAAAGCTGCCTGTCTCCAGCCAGCTGGGGTGTGGGAGTAGACAGGGAAGAGATGCATGGAGGACAAAGGAGGCAGTCAATCATTCCTTTTTTCAGGCAAGGGGTTGGTTATGGGACAGTTTCTTTTCTCTACTGCATTTGCACTCGGAGGGGGGGATAAAAGGAAACAAAACCAGGACTAAAGATGCCTCAGGGAGTCTCTGAAGTTCCAAACCTTGTATGCCACCCTATGAGGGCACTTCTTTCCTAAGCCCAGGGGTGGAGCAATTACACGTAACAAATTGTACATATCCTTATAATGAATCCGGCAACTGGAAGGGAAACGTCACAGGTTAGGACAGCAAAAACCAGGAGCAATCAGCTTTTCCCCGGGAAAACAGGAGGAGCTGGAAGGGCAGAACGTGCTGTAAAGGAAGGTTAGTCCAGCAAAAACTGGGCTTGTGAGGAAGGAGCAACTTATCACAGAGAGAGAGAGAGAGAGAGAGAACTTCCAGCTGCTCACCAAACTTTATATCCTTGGATTTTCTTCTGTGCAGGGCTTTCCAACCACTTGGTGCCCTTTGTCACTAATGTTTTGGTTCCCTTTGTCACTAATGTTTTGGTTCCCTTTGTCACCAGTGTTTTGGTTCCCTTTATTTAAAGTTTTAGTTCCCTGTGCCTGAGCATCTCCCTCCAGCCTCTCCTCGCCACCCCCCAGCCAACCCAGGGCCTGCAAGCACCCAAAGAACCTCCTTAATGGGTTATTCCTGGGATTCAGAAGAGCTTGGGAAGCTTTCCCTTCCACTGTTCCCTCCCACACAACCCCAGCAGGGCTGTTCTCTGATTCAGGGCCACTGAACAACTCGCTGCAAGCCCAGAAATCCTCCTCTCAAAGGTCGACTTGGCCGTTGGCACTGGGAAAATCCCAATATTGTTCCCAGCAGGTGGAATCAGACACCTCACAGTAGCTTTCTGGTCATTCTCATTAACTCCCAACAATATTTCCAGCTAATTTAACGGCAGGATTCGATTTCTTCACCTTTTGCAAGTAACCAAACCACAGGCAAAAAGAGCTGAGCCTCCCAGTTACCTCTGAGGGAAACTGAGATGATTTGGCTTCGCTGTGTTTATTTTGGTGCTTCATATAAAGAAGGCTGGAATATTTTGGAATATCTCCTTCAATATTACAGCTTTTCTGGACAGGGAAAAATTAAGGTCTATTCAAAGCCTTCCCAAGCCACTCAAAACTATTAATTCAGGAACAGAGCAAATGGAACTGTACAAGTCTTGGCTGGAGGCCTAAATGTGGTTATAAAAAGTATATTGGCTTAACTGAGTCAAGAAGTTGAGTTGACTTTACCTCCAGTTTTGGAACGATTTTGTAAAGTCAGGGTGTAGAAGTGACGTCTGCCCCGTTCCCTGAGCTCTCTGAGAGCTCCTGCAAGGCTTGAGAACCAGCAGATGTTTTGCCTTGGAAAGCACAAAATGAGGACAATCAGGGATTCTTTCCCAGGTCCGTGGAATCATGGAATGGTTTGGGGTGGAAGGGACCTTAAAGCCCATCTCATTCCACCCCCCCCAACCTACCACGATCCCAGGTTGCTCCAACCTGGCCTTGGACACTTCCAGGGCTGGGGCAGCCACAGCCTCTTGTTCAAATCTGATTTTGTTTATTTTCCTCAGCATCCTTTTATCCCAGGAAGCCAAGAGAAAGCTCTCCCTTGGCAGCCCCTGCACCTCCTCCTCTCCACTGAAGGTGCTTCCAGCAGCATCTCCCTCTTTGGGACAACTCCTGGGAATGGGATGGCCAGACCAGTATTCCCAGTATCTCTAAGGGGTGGGCACTGGGAAGGTTTAAAAGAGATGAAGTGCTCACTTTATATACACTGAACAAATTAAAGCTCTTAGAAATCCAATTTTCTTTTGTTTTGTCCAAGTTCATCCTTAAATCCTGTGTTTTCACTCCTTTCCTGATTAACTCCCAGCCCCCCCCAAACCACCTTGAGTTCCCTTATTTCTCTCTCTCTCTGTTTTTCTTTGAGCCCAAGGCTTTTACCACCCCTAAATCCAACAGTTTCCCCATACTTACCCCTCCAGAGTGTGACACATCTGGAAAAATGGCTGCTAAATGCCTTTTAAAATTCCTTTTGAATGCTTTTCCCCAGAAAAGTCAACAGGAAGTTGGATTTTGTAACAAAACCAAAGGTGATATGAAAAATAGAGCTGTAAATACGCATTAAGTCTATGTTTAAAATATTATCTGTATAACAAAAATATAACAACACTTGTGCTTTTTAACCATGCAGCATCTTTTGTGGAAGATGGACAAATACTGTAATTCCCTTTTTTGGGGGGGACAATCAAAGAGGAAACATTGAGAGAGGTGATCAGTGAGTGACCAATTCAGCCCAAATCACAGAATCATCAAACCACAGAATGATATAAGTTGGGAAAAAAAACCCCTCTGAGATCAGAAAGATTGGGAAGATCTTAGATCAGAATGATGAAAAGATTAATTCTGGCCTTAAACTGCGAAGGGCTTTTAAACTGTGGGAAATTTAGTCCCACTTCTGAAAATGTCAGTGATTTCAGTGGAACTGTTCACACTCTGCCAGCATCAATAACGTCCCAGCAGAGCATTAAAGGGAACAAGGTTAGAGAAAAGCAGAAAATTGGATGTTAATAAATGACATATTCTGCATTAACAGCTCGGCAAGTGAAAAGGTTTGGCCCCTGAGTGACTCACAGAATGTGAAGTCTCTGCTCGGAGTTAATGGAGCGAGAAATCTCTCTGTAAACTTCATATTTGTGCCTCTGATGGGTGGAAAGTTCCTGAACGCAGAAACATTAAAAAAAAAAAACCCACATTGATCCTCATTTTTTTCCCTTGCAGGTGTGTTACTCCTCCCACAGACCTTCAGCAGAGCCAAGGCTATTTTTTAAGGAGCAAACAGGCACTCCCAAGTTTTCAGTCTCATTAAGAGACAGGATTGGATTTTAAAAAAGGAGGAAAAAAAAAAACCCTATTTAGTGCCTGCCAAATACCCACAAAGGATTGTCTGTGTTCCAGAGCACGTGCTGGTGAAAACCTGCTTGGAGATGACAAGCTGTGAGTAAATGTGGAGGATATTCAGGCTGGGAGTAGGGATGGCTTTGAGGTGGTTAAAATCACCCACAGCTCAGAGAAAAGCAGGCATTTTGGGGCAGGTTTACATTTAAAGTTGCCCTAAATCATTTAAACTGAGGTTTTGAAGCAGTTTAATTGCATGCTAGCAGGGAGTTTGAGCTGCTGATTATACAAACACTTTTCTGCATCTGTCTCAGCTGAAGGGGGAAAAAAAAAAGAAGAGGGGAAAGATTGGAGGAGCTGGAAGAATTCAAAACACAGAGGAGATTCATTGCAAAGTAGCTCATGGGGAGGCAAATGGAGAAAAATTAGTAGAGGTTTAAATTAAAAAAAAAAAGTCTCCAAACAGGCAAATTCTCTGGGTGCAGAATATCAAGGAAATTCTCTGGGTGCAGAATATCAAGGAAATTCCTGTGACCTGGGACAGAACATCTAGAAATGAGAATACCACAGTCCCCAGGGCTGATGGGCAGCAGCTCCTTGTGGGCAGTGCAGAAAAGCAATATATTAAACCAGTCTCGCTCTAGAAGTGGTCACAGGTCAGGGCCATTCCCTCAAATTTAAAAAATTCCTTAAAACCCTTTCTTTGTTAACTCTGGGATCCATCCCAGACCTGTGCCACGGGTGTGAAACTTTCCCTTTGAGTAAGGAAAGCAAAGAGAGAAAACCCCCAAACTAAACCCTCCCCTGTGTGCAGGAACCATCCCCTCCTTGAACACACCCAAACATCAGGAACGTTTCCTCAGAGGCTCGTTGGGAACCGAAAATTTTTCCAACCTTTGGCTCATTTCCTTCTGATTATTTCACATCTCGTGTTTCAACTGTGAGTCTAATAGCTGAAATATCATTTGGAAGATCAAAGCTGCCTCGTAAAGTTCGATGTCATTAGAAGGGGGCTTCCAAGAGCAAAAACGTTGGGATTAATGAGAAAGGGCTGCTTTAAAAAAATGCCATGTTTTCAGCAGGAACACCCTGCTGGGGAGTGGGTGGGCAGAGGGAGTGGGTGGGCAGAGGCAGGTGATGGAGTTGGAGCCTGCAGGACTTGACTCAGATGTGACACATCCTCTGCCGTGGCCTGAGGGATCTGCACGGGGTTTGGGAAAGCATTAAGGTGGTTCTCAGCTAGAGAACCCCTGCACAACTGAGGGGTGACAGGGCACAGCCTCCCCCACCACCTCCAAGCGCAGAGATCTGCGTGGTTTCATCTCCAAACTGGGGTGCAGAAAGCAAAGGCCACGAATGAACAGCTTTTCTACTTGGTAATTTGGATTTCCCCTGGTAATTTTTGGCTGTGTGGGGAGGGGGGTGGGTTTTGCTCTCGTGCTTGGTGGGGTTGTGTCTGTTTGAAGGAAACTCCCTTTTAACGACATCGGGTTTGTTCATCTCCGCTGCAGTTGGAGCTTTTACCCCCAGTGTCACCTCGGAGTTGTTTTCCTTCTGGAGCTGTACCTCCTTAAAAGAGGCTCTGTGTGTGTCCAGGTACAATATTTACACCCCAGTGTGTCCGTCTGTCCCCCAGCAGGGTCAGTGTGTACGTACCAGGCAGCGGGGTCGTACTCGGCCCACACCCGGACAAACTCGTCCAAGTGGTGAGGGCCCAGGATGGAGGAGTCCCTTGTCAGGTATTCAAAGTTGTCCATGATCACAGCCACAAACAGGTTCAACATCTGCAGAGAGGGAGCAGGAATGCAGTCAGGGAAGGGAGAAGGGAAGGGGGAAGGGAAGGGAAGAAAAAGGAAAGGGAAAGGGGAAAGAGAAAAGAGAAAAGGGAAAGGGGAGAAGGGAGGAAAGAAAAGAGAAGGAGAGAAGGGAGGGAGAAGGAAAAGAGAGAAGGGAAGAAGAAGGGAAGGGGGAAGGAAAGAAGAAGGGAAGGGAGAAGGGCAGAAGAAGGGAAAAAGAAGGGAAGGGGGAGGGGAAGAAGAAGGGAAGGGGGAAGGGAAGAAGAAGGGAAAGGGGAAGGGAAGAAAATTAAAAGGGGAAAGGGAAGAAAATGAAAAGGGGAAAGGGAAGAAAATGGAAAGGGGAAGAGAAAAGGAAAGGGAAAAGGGGGTGTCATGGTTTGAGATAGCCCCAAAATCCAAAGGGGAAAAAGGAGAAAAAAAGGAGAGGGAAAAGGGAGGAAAAAGGAAAGGGTAGAAAAAATGAAAGGGGAAAGGGGAGAAAAAAGGAAAGGGGAGAAAAAAAGGAAAAGGAAAAGCTGGAAGGGGAGCAGGCATGATTCCCTTAACTGGATGTGTACTTCCTTCAAGAAGCAGCCTGACCCCAGAGAATAAACTCTCCAGACAGAGCCCTGGGTCCTTGGGGTGCTGCTGCTGCTGCTCCCCCCCTGCACACACTGCAGGCCCCTTTGCCAAGGACTTTGGCTGCGGGTGCTTTTCCAGGTCCCAGTCCTGGTGCTGCCCTCCAGTGTGACCCACCCCAGAGCCCTGAGGGGTCGGCCCCTCTCCCTGCCCCTCTCCCTGCCCCTCCCTCACCCCAGCCCAGAGCAGCACAGGGGCTGCAGCAGCTGCTTCTCCAACCAGACATGGGAACTCTTCCAGCACTTCCACATCAAGACCAGAACGGCCAGAAGAAAACCCCTTCTTCAGCCTAAATGTGCTATTTTAGCCTCATAACAATTGAAACCTTCCAAGATCCCCAGAAAGCTGAGCAGCAGGACACACAGAGTGCTCCTGTCCCTGCTGGCCACTAACCCAGAGCCTGGCAAACACCTCTGGCATAGAAAAGTTGTGCTTTTATTAAAGCCAAGGGAAGAATCACGAGGATTTTTAACGGGAAAAGATCAAGCTGCAGCCAGCAGAGTGGGAAGGCAGGAGGGAAGAGATGCTCCTGGGCCAGATAAAAAGACCTGATGGGCACAAGGCTCCTTTCTGCCTCTCTCCTGTCTTCTGCAGGGAGGCTGAGCTGCTGCTGTCAGTGCCGTGCTGGGCAGGGAGGGTTGTGGCCAAGCAGCCTGTCAGCACAATTAAACTCAATGTGGGGCACAATTAAACTGAATATGGATGTCATTAAAAGAAAATCAGGCAGTGGAATTTGGGCTCTGTGCAGTTTAAAAGAATTCATATCCCTGTGTGATCTGGAGGGAGGAGGGGTCTTGGCCCTTGCTGGGATGCACCAGTACAGACGAGCTCAGTCTGTAATGAATCACCACATCAGCACCAAAGGCTGATCAGACACTCCCCAGAGCTTTAGCCCATGTATTTTCACAGAGTCACAGAATGTGCTGAGTTGGAAGGGACCCACAAGGATCATCCAGTCCAACCCTCAGCCCTGCACAGGCCCATCCCCAAGGGTCACACCCTGTGCCCCAGAGGATCATCCAAACCCTCCTGGAGTTCTGGCAGCCTTGGGGCTGTGCCCACTGCCCTGGGGAGCCTGGGCAGTGCCCAACCAGCCTCTGGGGGAAGAACCTTTGCCTGAGATCCAACCTGAGCCTGCCCTGACACAGCTCCAGCCATTCCCTGGGTGCTGTCCCTGGTCCCCCCAGAGCAGAGCTCAGTCCCTGCCCCTCCTCTGCCCCTCCCCAGGAAGCTGGAGCTGCCATGAGCTCTGCCTTCAGTCTCCTCTTCTCCAGCTGAACACCCCAAGTGCCCTCAGTGTCCTCCCACGGCTTCAAATCAAGGCCCTTCCCCATCCTCGTTGTCTCCTTTGGACACTCTCCAATGGCTCAATCCCTTCCCTCCATTGTGTCCCCCCAAACTGCCCCAATATTGAGGTGAGGCCGCCCCAGGGCAGAGCAGAGGGGACAATCCCCTCCCTGGTGCCCCCAGGACATGTTTGACCCTCCTGGCTGCCAGGGCACTGCTGACTCAGGGCCAACTGGCCACTGACCACAACCCCCAGGGCCCTTTCCCAGCACTGCTTTCCAGCCTCTCATTCCCACTCTGTCAGCACATCCAGGGCTGCCCCATCCCAGGGGCAGAATGTGGCACTTGTTGAACTTCCTCTGGTGTTTTCAGACCCCCAGCAAGGCTCCTGCCCCTGCAGTGTGTGAATTCACTCCTGTGTGAGGCCCATCAGCTCCAACACCATCAAACAGCTCTGGTGGCTTTGGGCAGCCACGATGGTCCTTCGTGTCCCCCCTCCCTGGGTGTTTGTGCCCCTGTGCCACGGCCCAGACAAGCCCCAGCATCTTGGAGTCCCCATGCAGGGATGGGGATGCCCAAACCAGCTCTGAATAAGCTGCTCAAAGGCTGCAAGAACTCCAGCTGGATCAGTGTGATGCTCAGTGTGATGCTCCCAGCAAGAGCTTCTGAACTGGTGTTGTCTCAGCCATTCTCACCCTGCTCACTCCTGCCCTGCAGGTACCTCCCACATGGCACAGTGTCCCCAGAGCATCCCGAGGCAGCAGAACTTCTCAGAGTTTGCCCCTTGATCCCAAATCCCTTCCCAGTGTTCCCAGCTCCAGCCATGGCTCGGTACAGTTCCCCCTTCCCTGCCTGGAGCTGTTTCTAAAGTTCCTGGACATTCTTAACTTCCAATTCATATTTTCACTATAAATTTCAATTGATGTTTTCCTTATATTCTTAGCTTTCAATTTATGTTTTTCGTAATAGATTTCAATTGATATTTTTCAACGTGGATTTCAATTTATCTTTTTTTCCTCTCCCTCAAGTTACAGGGGGGAAATTATGTCAAGCTGCACGTCCACACAGAGCCAGAAACACCACTGGAAACCAAATACATTATCCAATTTCCCCTCAATCTATGGCATAACATTGAGCAAACCATAGAAAAAAGTGCTCTCCTGGCAAGGCTGGGGCTCTGCAAAGCTTGTGGGGAACCACATGGTCAAGTGCTGAATGCATTTTAAGGAATGAGTTACAGCCCAATCCAGCTGCTTGGCTTCCCACTGCCTATTTTTGGAACTTTTGCTGCTCACAAGGGCTCCCCCCTCTCCTGGTCCAGTTTCCAGGGGGTTTTCCAGGAGCTCTGACCCAGGGACAGAGCTGCTTTTGCACAGCTCCAGTTCTGCTGCTACATTTTGGCTGAGATGGCTGATCCAGCCAGGGAGGGCTCTGGGGGGATGTGATGTTTGTTGTTGGTTTTTTTTTTTTAAATAAAAAGCTTGAAAATAACACTGAGAACGTCTGATGTCGGGTTAGGGATTTGCACAAGGGAAAAACCCTGGTTTTAAAACTCAGGAGTGCTGAAGGAGTCACTGAGTGGAGCATTAACTTCGTGTAAGCTTTCAGGGCTCTGGGTTTTTTTGAACTCCTCAGAAGAAATAATCCACGGGGTGTCAAAGGAGCAACAGCAGTGGGACAGAGGATGCCAGCAGGGGCCATTGAGGTTGGTGTGTCTACACCCAGCATCAAACTGCCCCGTGGAGCTCCTTTTCCTGGTGGAAGGGTTCTGAGGAGAGCAGGATTAGCTGCACAAAGCAGCCAATCTGCTGTTGGAGAGCAAACCTGTGGCAGCTCCAGCCGCTGCTTTTGGGTTCATTTCAGAGCCTTCATCTCTTCCTGCTTGAGGCTTAATTGGGTCCCTGCCCTGGGTTTTCCATTCCTCTGTCCCCAGTGGTGCTGGAGAGGGGGCAGAGGGATGTTTGTGGATGTGCCAGTGCTCAGGGAGGGCACTGGCACCTCTTAAAGCACCTCTTAAAGCACGGGCACGACCCAGGCGCTGAACACTTCCATGGCTAAAAGCTTTTCTGGCAGCAGCAAATGGTTATTGCATTTCTTTGACCAACAAAACAGAACACAGAGCATCAAATGAGTGTGATGCTCCCAGCAAGAGCTTCTGAACTGGTGTTGTCTCAGCCATTCTCACCCTGCCCTCCCCAGTCCCCTTCTTCAAAGGCCCGTGTTACAAATCAAGACAAAACCGATTAGTGCTTAATTCCAGATATTAGACCCCCCCTGTGAGAAGAAAGATAAATCCCTTCCCTTTAAACTAATGACTAAATGATCTCTTTGGGGATTAAAGGGATTTTATCACCAGGATGGTAAATGGGGTTTAGCAAAGCTGTCTGTGGTGTTGGATAAATTATAATTAGGGAGGAGGAGGAGGTAAAGGGATGGGGAGTGTTTGGGGGGGATCCACCACAGCACCCCAACTTTGGGAGGGATCAGGACCGACTTACCAGGAAGGAGCAGAGGAAGATGAAGGACACAAAGTAGAAATAGGCAAAATCACTGCCACATTCCTTCTTGGTGAGGCCAGAGAGGGGGTCACAGGCTCTCTTGCTCAAGCAGGACAACATGATCTCGTGCCAGGCTTCCCCCGTGGCACTCCTGGGGATGGGAGGGCAGAAGTGAGTTTATCCACCCCCTTCCCATTACAGACCCCAGGGGCAGCCACCTCACAGTGTTACTGTGCCTAATTAACTGACTTAATTAGGTGAAGGTTGTGTCCAGGTGGAGAGACTGTATTTACACTGGGAATTTGAATTACCAGCCTGCTGATGTGGAAAGAAAGGAGAATAACATTTCCTTCCATCACAGGGGGGTAAAAGAAGCCAGACAGGCTGAGGTAGGCTAAAAGCTTTATTGCTTTTATGGAGAATAAAACCAGATTGATTTCAGCATGTCCAGTGCAAATCTAAGTAAACAGAGTTTAGATTGTTCTCTTTTGAAGCAGCCAAACACTTCTGTCCTAGTGCTGGCTCTAAACCCAGTGGAGATGATGGGAAATGAAATCAGGCTTCTCCACTTGAGTCTCTTATTTTCTTTATCAGGCAGATAAATTCCAGCACGGTCTGGTTGGTCGTAGTGCCATGAATCTCTTTTTCATGCCAGTCTCCTGAGTGTTTTCATCATTTCCCTCCTCCCCCTCTAACTTCTGCTGCTGAGAAAAAACAGCCAAAAGGAAAAGTTTTGGAGTCCCAAAGGGTTTGTCCTCAAAATAAACCACCCCCTGCAATGGCTTGGATGTCAGGGGATCTCCACATATCAGAGTAATCTGGTTCCTTCCTCATCCCCATCCTGCTGCCCCTCAGTCCCACTGTGGCCTGTGAAGGGACCAGGAGGTCTGACCACGAGACTGAGTAATTATCCAGTTTTATTAAAATGCAGGGCTTTGAGCTGAGTGATTATTCTGAGCTAGAGAGGGCTAATTTCATTTCCATCTGGCTTCACAGAAACTATGGAAACCAAATCCCAGGCAAGAGATCCAGTTACAAGCTCCACATCATCTGCAGAGCTGGGGTTAACTGGGGGGGGTCTCCACATCCCCCCACCAAACTGCCCTGAGCTGGAGCAGGACCCGAACTTCAGTTTTGACAGGTTCTGAAAATGAAAGTCTTCAGTGAAAAATTAACTGCTTGGGTTTTAATTCGAAAATGCTTTGTTTCCTTGCAGAATGAACCCAGAGGGAAACACTTGCACTCCGAAGCAGAGGCGGGGGGTTGGTGGATGAAGTGTTAAAATGACCAATTTAAGGGATTCTCACTTAAAAAAAAAAAAAGAAAAAAAACAAGCTTCATGGCAGGAAACCCATCAATCAGTTATACAGGGGGAGCTGTCCCATATTAAGCTTCTGCCTGAGCTGCCAGGGGGTGTCACAGCCCTGGGTGACACGTTGTGGAGATGATGATGTGTCGGCTCAGATCCCCCGAGGAGGAGGAAGCAGGGATGGCTGCTTTACTCAAATCCCTTTCCCAGAGGATGCCCAAGGCTCAGCAGCCAAACAGAGACTTTTTTCCCTGCTCACATGCAAGTCAGATGGTGTTTTATACCCTCCTCTTACCTGAACAGAAGCATCAGGGCTTGGAGGAAGGTCCGGAAGTTGTTGTGCCGATTAATGGAGGTTTCATCATCTAATGCAATGTTCCCAAATACCTGCCACGGGAAACAGAAGGGATTCAGGCCAAGCACATCCTCCCATGGGTGTTGTCAGGAAAGGTGGATCAAGTGGAGTAGAGTAAAAAGGCAGGGAAGTAATTCGTCCTGGTGTGAGGGATCTCAAAAGCTAAAATAATTTCTGTGCTGAAGAGGGAGATAAAAAAGTGGTGTGGAGGTCAAATGGGGGAAAACACCAGGTTACTGTGCTTTGTGTTCACACAGGACCTTTCCAACAGTGCAGCTCCATCCCAGGCCAACAAAACTTCAGGATTTCTTCTCAGAAAAGTGCAGTGTCTTGATGTGTCCATAGCCAGGGGAAGGGGTGTGTCTTCCCATGGGAGACAGGGATACCCACCCTGCTGCTGGAAATGCAGTGGTACAGGCTCATCCCCACAGGTGATGTGTCTGCCCGTTCTCTTTGTACACCCAGGGCCACGTTCAGCTTAAAACATGACAATAAGAGTACAAAAAGTGGCCCTTTTCTCCACTTCTAATTTCCCTGACACCAGACAAGAAGAGCCTTTTGCCTCATCCTAACCCAGCTGCTCCCTGAACAAACCCAGGCTGAGTGTGGGCAGAAGGAGAGCCAGATGTTTTACCTGCATGCCAATAATGGCATAGATGAAGAAGAGCATTGCAATGAGGAGACACACATAAGGCAAGGCCTGTGGGAAAGGAGAAGGTGGTGTTAATGACAGCAAAGGCACAGCACCCAGGAGTGTTTAATCCCTGGGCAGGACTGTGTTTTGTGGCATTTGTCCTTCAAGTGAAGGAGCTGGGAGGAGAATGTGAACAGCTCTGTCAGCAACCCCCCTGGAGCCACGAATTCATCAATCCCAGAACAGCCAGGGCTTTCCAAAGGCTCTCTGTGTATCCTTGCAAGCAGGGAAAACACAACCCAAAGCTTCCCAGCGAGCACTGGAACTACCAGCAGGCCCTGGCACTTTCTATGCATAATTGCATGAATGTTAATTTTTAATGACCTTGCTGTAAATGTAGTCTGAGAAAAAAAACATATCCATCCCAGAAACGAGTTGCTGCTCTGAAACAGGCACAGATTGCAGGCCCAGGAGGACAAAAAGCTTCTGAGTTTTAGCAAGAAATCAGTGGAGGCTGCGATGTAATTATGTCACCCAAGCTGAGAGTGATAGCTGCTTTCCACTTGGGCTAAACAAATGGGTAATTAATGCTTCTTAATTGGTAATAGCTGAAAAAAGGAGAAGTCTTGCCATAGGATTAGCCCATGTGGTGCTGGGGCAGGAGAGGGGTTATACAGCCATGGGGGGCCCAGTGGGAATCACAGAATCACAGAATATCTTGAGTCGGAAAGGACCCACCAGGACCATCCAGTCCAACTCCTGGCCCTGCACAGACACCCCAACAATCTCACCCTGTCCTTAAGAGGATCAGCCAAACCCTCCTGGAGCTCTGGCAGCCTTGGGGCTGTGCCCACTGCCCTGGGGAGCCTGGTCAGTGCCCAACCACCCTCTGGGGGAAGAACCTTTTGCTGAGATCCAACCTGAGCCTGCCCTGACACAGCTCCAGCCATTCCCTGGGTGCTGTCCCTGGTCCCCCCAGAGCAGAGCTCAGTCCCTGCCCCTCCTCTGCCCCTGCCCAGGAAGCTGGAACTGCCATGAGCTCTGCCCTCAGTCTCCTCTTGTCCAGCTGAACACACCAAGTGCCCTCAGCCACTCCTCCTATGGCCCCTCCAGACCCTTCACCATCCTTGTGTCCCTCCCTTGGACTCTTTCGAACAGCTTTAGATCATTGTGTCCTCCCAAAACTGCCCCCAGCACTCGAGGTGAGGCTGCCCCAGCCCAGAGCAGAGCAGGACAATCCCCTCCCTTGCGGGGCCGGTGCTGATGCCCCCCCTGATCCCCCTGATGTCCCCCAGGGGCAAAACCCGAAGGAACCCTGGGGCAAAGGGTTGATGTGGTTTCTGCTGGACACCTTTGCTCAGGGATCAAAGACTGAGAACTCAGCTTTGGGGGGACAGACAGACAGACAAAGAGCTCCCCAGGCAGCGCAGGAGTGTCCCGTCTCTGTTTCAGGGCAGCTCTCTGCACACACCCTTGGAAAGGGTCGGGGCTGTGCTGGAAAGGACCAGGGCTGAGCCCCTCTGCCAAGATCCAGCCAAGGCCACACTGTCCAAGGACACCCTCCTGAGTGGGAACATCTGCCTGGCAGGGGCTGGAGCTCTGCCCTTGTGTTAGAGCCCGGTATCAGTCTTGATTTCACGTTGTATGTTCTCCTCTCTGCACTCCAGTACCTGAGCAAGCCCCATAACCAGAGTTAAAGCCCAAAACAATGCACAAACAGGCTGCAAAACAAAAATAACCAGCTTTGGGGCGTGTGGGCTCTTATTTAGGTGTGGAAAAGAGCTGGCTCACAGCTAAGCACGGGCTGAGCAGTGCTCTGCTGTAAGGCAGTTGGTTTAGGGTCACTTGGAGCAGAAGTCACCCCTGGGCCACAACGTGCTGAGTCTTGCTGGGAGGGAAGAGAAACCAGGCCAAGCAACCGCCTGCACTTCAGAACAGCACCTCATCTTTTTAAAATCCTCCACGTCATCAAAGCCCAGCCCTGCGTTCTGCAGCTCCCCAGTTTGTGTCACCAAACCCCAGTGGTTTGGGGTTTGCCTCTGCCACCTCCTACCACACCCAAATCCTGGTGAAAGCAATTTGCTGCAGGCAAATAATAGTCACCAGGGCACCACTTCCTTATGCAAATGCTTGAGCATCAAGGCTTTGCCACGGGGATTTTGGGGGGGGTTCAAGGGCAGCCTGACCTCTGTGCACCCGCTGGAATCTGCACCAGCAAGCTTTTGGACTCATCTTCCAAAATGCAGCGTTCAGGGGCTGGTCAGTGCTACCCAGTTTGCTTCCCTGCAGAATTAATATCCCTGTGATGGAATGGTGGTGCAGAGGGAATTCCCTTGGCAAGGGGAGCTGTTTGATCCCCGGCAGAGGATGCTGCGGATGCACCAAGCGCGACCGAGTCCCCGCGTCTCTCAAACTCACCTTAAAGGACTGCACGAACGTCCAGAGCAGGATTCGGATGGTGTAGCCCTGGCGGAGGAGTTTGATGAGTCTGGCTGCCCTGAAGAGCCTCAGGAAGCTGAGGTTGATGAAGTTGTCCTGCGGAAAGTAAAGGTTTTGTGTCCTTCAGAAATTAACGCGCTCGGAAACCACAGCCCGCGAAAAAAGAAATTAAAATTACCAGCTTCACGATCTAAGCAGCAAATCGGCCACCAGAAAACCTTCCAAAAGAAACATTCGTCAGTGCAGATCACTCCACATGCAGCAAGAATGAGAAAATCCCTCTCCACAAGAGCCCTCCCCTCTGCTACTGGGTCAGTGACAGAAAAGGCCCTTTCGCGCTGTCCATGGAGGTCTGATTTGCTTTGAGAAAGGCAGATTTTCTCCCCCATGAAGACTCGGGGAGAGGGAATGGTGCCGTATTTTCATTTTGTAAGGAATGAGGTTGTTTGGACGTCTTGGTCAGCTCTGAACTGAACTTGAGCCAAGACAGGCGTGTACAGCCTGTAATGTAACAAAGAAAGGCACTGTCCAGTGAAGATTCAAACATCCTTGAAGGAATGAGGATGTTTTCCAACCTGCAGGTTTTAGATCTGTTCATACAGAGAGTAACTGGACAGGTTCATCAAAGAGAAAGGGCACCAGAAAGACTTGTTTGGGAGATGGATCAATGGCAGCGAGTCAGCTGGGGAGGCTGAGCTTTCAACAGCAGGAGGATGCCTTAGGAACCTGCTGGTTTTTCAAATTGCCATTAAATGTGCCTTTGCAGGTGGATCAAAGAACTGCTGGAGACAGATTCAGATTTCCATTTGTTTTGGATGATTCTCCCCACCCCTCACCCCATCTTTTTTTTTTTTTTTTCTTTCCTTCAGGGGAAAGAGGTTTCTTGCCCCAATGAGCTAATCTAGAGAGGGTTCTTTCCAAAAGAAAACATGCAAAAGCCAGATCCCTCTTGCCCTCCTATTTGAAGGAGATAAAAAAAATATTGCCCCTTTCCATACTGATCCCAATTCACTTATTTGTGAATCTCTGTTCACAGCCACTTATTTTGACTGAGTGAGCTAAAGAGAGAAAGCATCCCACTTTAAACTAGCAAGCAGTGGAGCAGAAAATATAATCATAAGGAGCTCTTGTTGGTAAAGATGAGCAAAAATAGTATTTCCCTTGTATTATTGTTTTACCAGGAGACACCCAGTCACATTGAACTGACCCATGTTTCTTGCTTGTTTGGCTACAGAGCTCATGCTGAAATTGGGGGGCTTGTTGGATCTATTCATTTCTTTAAATGCCAGCTCAGTTTTGGGGCCATTAGCATTGCATTCCACCAATCCCATCAAAGAGTCCAAGAAATCAGTCTCAGGCATGCACTCGGTTTCTCTCAGGTTAAAAACACAAGCAGCTCAGAGTTAGGCACAGACCGTCAATCAGACTCAGTCCTCAAATAAAGAGAAAAGAGAAAAGCACAGGTATGTTCCATGAAAGAGCAGGACAACACGGAGCTCATTCCAGTCAGCAACAGAGCCAGCTCTGGCAGGCAAAGCACAAGCAGGATTCCCCTGGGTTGTTGGAGGGCGGGAGAGCAGGCACTCGGGATGGAACGCTTGTCTCGGAGCATCAGCTCAGCTTTGTTTCACTCGTGGCTTACCTTCCCTTCACCACATTCCAGCTGGACTCACCTTGGCACGTAAGGGCCCGTGGGGCAGAGCTGGCACTCAGCTGGATAAGGAGGTGCCATCACTAAGCTGGTCCCTGTCCCCCTGTTCCCCCTGCGGGGCTGATGAGCTCCACAGGGCAAGGCAGAGCTTTACCCCAGACCCTGTTTGAACCAGGTCTTCCCAACAGTGGGAACTAGACCAGACCTTATGTGGCATTCACAGCACTTTCAGGCCTGGAAGGCTGACAGAGTTTAAACTTCAGAGCAATGCTCAAGCCAGACCTTTCCTGTGCTCCAGCCTTATGCTCTTCCGAGGAGCACATAGACAGTGTCTGCAGGATCCATCTCTCCCCTGACCCTGCTGTCCCTCCCTCTTCCCACGGTCCTGCAGCTTAACAGCAAGAACATTGTCTTGCTCAGACTTTGCTGTGGCCTCATAATCAGGGCTGACAGGATGCTCAACATCTGCTTTGGGCTGGGCTGCCTGAGAGGTCACGCTGAGCACAGGCTGTGCTTTGTACATGGAAAACGGGGATAAATGGGAAAGGGGTTCAAAACGGTGTAGTTATGCCTGTAATGCCCCATTCCCTGGGATTTGGAGGGACAAACAGTCTGTACAATTTTTATTCCCCAGCCTCTAAGCCTCCCTCTTTGACTCCTGCAGTCCCTAAAGCGCAGTGGGATCCCTCACAACCCAGGCAAATCCCCCGTCCCCGACGCCGGGACGGTTCGAAGGACAGTTCTCTGCTGTGGGGAGGCCAAATTGCACACGCTGGGGATGGGTGGGAGGGCTCTGCGTGTGCCACCCCCAGCACACCACGGAGAAAACCCGTCCTTCGACACCTCAGCCGTCCAGGCAGGAGTTAAGAGTCACATGCAGCTGAAGGGGAAACTCCACAGTGCGATATTTCTCGGGTACAACAGTGCTTTGCATCGATTCTCCCCCCACTCAGCCACCCCTGGGATGTGTCCCATGATTATCCAGGTCATTCTTCCCGGGTTTTTTTGGTTGCTTTCCTGTTGCACAGATGCTCACGGCTGTTTGGTCCTCACAACAGGCACCAGAGCTTTGGGATGGTATGATCCACCTGGCAGCTCCAAAATTATGTTTGGGAAAAGCATTTCCCCTGGCTTGACTCTGTTTTCCTGAAAGAGGAAGGTCTGGTACTGAAGGTACCCAGTCACCAGCCAGGGCCTGGGCACTGCCACCACTTCCCACCACAGGAGTTCAGATGAGTGATAAATCCCTGAACAAACTGCAAAGCAGGAGGAAACAGGGAGAACAGACATCATGGATAACAAACTGGCCTTGATTGCTGTCCCACCATGGGCAGCCTCATCTTCTACCCTTTGTTTTCATAGAATCACAAATTGGGTTGGGTTGGAAGGGACCTTAAAGCTCCTCTCCTTCCACCCCCTGCCATGGGCAGGGACACCTCCCACCAGCCCAGGTTGCTCCAAGCCCCATCCAACCTGGCCTGGGACACTTCCAGGGATCCAGGGGCAGCCACAGCTTCTCTGGGCAACCTGTGCCAGAGCCTCCCCACCCTCACTGTAAAAAACTTCTTCCCAGTATCCCATCTAACCCTGCCCTCTGGCAATGGGAAGCCATTCCCCCTTGTCCTGTCCCTCCATCCCTTGTCCCCAGTCCCTCTCCAGCTCTCCTGGAGCCCCTTTAGGCCCTGGAAGGGGCTCTCAGGTCTCCCTGGATCCTTCTCTTCTCCAGGTGAACCCCCCCAGCTCTCCCAGCCTGGCTCCAGAGCAGAGGGGCTCCAGCCCTCAGAGCATCTTCTTGGCCTCCTCTGGGCTCCAGCAGCTCCACATCCTTCTTCTGTTGGGAGCCCCAGAGTTTTCCACACAGAAAAGGAGAGAAGCCATGAAGAGCAGGGTGTGCAGCCATCGCCTGGGGCTCTTCCTGCAGCACCCTCAGCAGCAGGATGATATCCTGCCCAGCACAGGAGCTGTGCCCACTGTCCCCAGGGATGCAGAAAGAGCTGCTGGAAGAGGCATCTGACCAAGGCAAAAATGGGATCGCTCAGGAAGCTTTAGCATTTCTCTTCATTTGGCATCGACAAGAATTAACTTGTTCTGTTGAGGAACTACCGTTGAGGAAGTGGCCTTGTTCCCATTTTAAATGTCTGTGGCATTGCCAGAAGTGTTCCTGAACCTTGCACAGGGTCCTGGCTTCCTCTGAAGCTCAGAGAACCCATTCCTGGTTTTAAGAGGATTTTTGAAGACTTTTGTCACACTTGTCTGTGTCTTGAGGACTCTACCATTGCAGTTACATCATATCAGTCCTTCCATCCTGAGCCTGGAATGCTGGAAGAATGATTTTCTGTGGGTGATGCCCAGATCTCTCCTTGTTTCCTGCTTCACAGAATATCCTGAGTTGGAAGGACCCACAAGGATCACCCAGTCCAGCTCCTGGCCCTGCACAGACACCCCAACAATCTCACCCTGTCCTTAAGAGGATCATCCAAACCCTCCTGGAGCTCTGGCAGCCTTGGGGCTGTGCCCACTGCCCTGGGGAGCCTGGTCAGTGCCCAACCAGCCTCTGGGGGAAGAACCTTTTCCTGAGATCCAACCTGACCCTGCCCTGGCACAGCTCCAGCCATTCCCTGGGTCCTGTCCCTGCTCACGGAGAGCAGGGATTGGAGCTGCCCCTCTTGAAGAAGCTGCAGCCCCTGGTGAGCTCTGATTTCAGTCTCCTCCAGGCTTCCCTTGAACTTTGGAGCTCCTGCTGCACTCACTGCAGTGTCCCAGCAGCAGCAGTGGAAGGAAGAAAACATCTCAGGAGGACAATGTGGTTCTCCAAAGACCTCACTGGGATGCCAGGTGATGGAAGGAGCCTGGACTCGTCTCTATGAAACAGCAACTGCAATCCTAACAAACAGCAGGGTGAGCTTTGAAATCCTTCACCTGAACGTGGACCAAAATTTGGCCAAATGGAGATAAACTGGTTTTTTTCCAGTATATTTTCACAGCTGATGCCTGGGTACTTTTCTGTGCTACCTGGGCCAGGGGTGCAGCAGACAAAATCTCCAAGGACATCCTCAGTGCTGCCACACATCTGTAGCACTTCCAGCCACCACAGAAATTCCCTTTTTGGCTCGCACGGGGCAAATTTTCACTCACACATTGTCATTTTCTCCTTTGCTGCTTCCTAGGAAATCCCCCCTGTGACCCTCCATGAACTGTCATGGAGCTTCTGTGCAGCCTGGCATGAAGATTCTCCCTGATTTGTGTCTTAACAGCAACTGTGCAGCAGGAAATGCAGATGTTACAGATCCAAGAGCTGTTGTCAGGTGGCCAAGCAAAGATTTTTGATAAGCTTATGGTCTCCTTTGTGTTATTAACCATAGCCAAGATAATTAAATATCGGGGAAAAAATATATTTAGATTGCATTTTTCTTTATTCATTCTCTTTTGCTTAATTTTCAAAGAAAAAGGCCAGGATTTCCAAAGGCATCTTTGGAATCAGGCACTAAATTCCCAGTGGGATGTGGCTCCTGGTACTTTTCAGCTCTGTTCACAACACGATTTATGCTTTAACTTGAGATGTTTGGTTTTGCAGCCCAGGGACTCTGTGTCCAAAATAATTCTACGGGCTGGTATCACAGGGAATTTTCCAAGTGGAGTGAAGATAATTTTTCCTATCATTTCAATCATTTCTCTTTTGATTTGAGGGCAGCAAGTCTGTCATCACTTCAGAATGTTTCTGCCTTATAATACTGGGGGTTTTTGGCAGAAAACATCTTGTTCAAAAGAAACCAAACCCGCTTTCCAAGAGCTGAATTTGGTGCCACCGGTTTTAAAGTGAAGCATTTCCCAGCCAGACAATCTTCTCCTCTCCAGCCCATCCAGGAGCATCATTCCCTCCTAATCATCCCATCCCGTTTTCCATGGAAATAAGGCAAGTGGGAGTCTCCCCTTTAGCAAAGTGGGGGGGAAGAGAGAGCAGAGCTATTGGTAACTGGGTTTGCCTCACGTCACCAATTAGCCCAGGGAAGGAGGTGCAGAAAGAAGCCAGTTTGGGGCAGTGCTGCAGGGAGGCTTTTTCACCAGTGCAATCGGAAATCTCATCAAAAAAAACCTCAAAAAAACCAAACCAAACAACTTATCAAATCAAAAGAAAAACGAGAGAAAATAAAAGCAGAGGCTTGAAAGAATTGTTTAAATTCAATGAAACCAACCGTGTCCTATATGTGATGTTTTCATGGATGGATATTGGCAAGAGTTATTTACAAATTTAGGGTGTTTTTTTTTGTTTTGAGCAGCAGGTGCACAACATACAGACGGAGACATGGTTTTCGCATTGTATGTTGATTGGATGGCGTGATTTCAGCAGGTAGATTAAGGAAAATAAAGAACAAAACAGGGAAACAAAAAGAGAAAATGAGTAATCAGGACAAGCAAAAAAGGAAACTCTGAAAAATTTCATTGAGGGAAAAGAAACTATCAGGTATCGGGGGAGGGAGGTGTTATTTTATGGGAATTATATAAAGAAAAAATGCTTCAAACCAAAACCAGGTTCTGAGATCCTAAAGGTAACACACACAGTGCAGTAGTGATTTGCATTTCAGTTTGTAATGCAAATTGGGAGACAATTCACAAACACTTCTCAGGAGGTTTTTTTTTTATATTTCCAGGCATAGAAATAGATGTCAGTTTGCCAAACTCCCACTCTGGATCTGTCCACAAGGACACCTTCTCCTTAAAGCCACCTATTTTCCCTCGATTACTGAGAGGGTCAAAAAACTGACATTCACTTTTTTTTTTTTGCCTAAGGAAATAAAAAAAAAATATATATATATATTCCACTACAATCACAAAGTAAATTACATATGGCATGATTACAAAATTGAAACAAAGCAATTCATCAACACATTTCTTTTCCTTTTGTCTTTACTTTTCCGTGGGTTAAAGGTACCGATGCAGCAAGGCTGGTGGAAGCCAAGTCTCTCAAGAGGAGACAACCCCCCCGCCCCAGGTGAGCGGGTTTATTTACCTTGGAGAACATTTATGGCTGGAAAATACAGTCATGGGAAAAAATAACAGTGCTTTGTGAGCCTGATCTCGGGGTGACACCTAGAAAACCTAGAAAACACCTGGATCTCCAAAGGAGCTGGACGGCTCCTGGTGCAGGACAGATGGAGGCTGACAGGGTCATGCTGTGGCTGCCACAGGGACCTCCCAGCTGGAGAACTCCCATGGGATGGGTGACAAGAGGGCTGGATGCACAAGGAGGGACTGACAGGGGCTGCCACCCAACTCTGCCCGTGGTGCCCATCAGCTGAGGAGGTGTGATAGTTTTAGTCTAGGCCTTCCTGGAGACCAGCTTGTAACCAGGCAATTACCCTATATTCCCAGTATTCCATGCTATTCTTTACATAAGCAGAGGTATAAATAAGAAGGAGAGAGAAGGCTCTGCCCTCTTCTCTTCTGGTGGATCTCAAAGCACAGATTCTCTGCTGTCAGTCCTGCTCGTGTGAGGGAGTGAGGCCTAGTGCGGCCTGGTGAGGCCTAGTGAGGCCTAGTGCGGCCTGGTGAGGCCTAGTGAGGCCTAGTGAGGCCTGGTGAGGCCTGGTGAGGCCTTGTAGGCCTTGGGAGGCGGAGGGTGCCAGTGGTCGTTTGGCACAATTCTGCTCTCTCAAGGAGAGTAGTAAGATTTTCTTTTGCTAGTTTTTATTGATTGTGCATACCTGCTTCGGGTTTCTTCTGTGGTTTTGTCCCTCTTTTGTGGTTTTGTCCCTTTTCCCTTCCCCTTTTAGGAGGATTGTTTGGGGTTCTTTTTTGTGTGTACATAGTATGTGAATGTGTAAATGTGATATATGTAAATATATATATGTATTTTAATATAGTTCTGCTATTCCGTTTTTTTTTCATAGTTTTTTCTCTCTCGCTCTTTGCTGGAGGCTTTTCGGGAACTTGGCAGGGAGCCAGCTCCAAACTCTAACAGGAGGGCAGATGGAGAAGAGGGAACACTCCGCTGGGGACACAGCTCGGGGTGGTGAGGAGTCAAGACCTGTTCTCCTCTCTGGTTATTCTCCACTCCATGATGGAGCTGCTGCACCCCTGGGCACACCCTGAGGAAGGTGAAGAAAGCATCAGCTGTGGCACTTTGTGCAGAGCAGATGCTCATCCCCAGCCTAAGTTACTGCTCTGCCTTGCCTGGGAATATAAAGAGGTTGGGAATACAAAGAAAGGATGGGCAGAGGCCTTGGGATGAAAGGTTGGAGGCCACACACCAGGGCTGTGCTCTGGGAATGAGGCACCCACCAGCCCTCCTTTCAGTCCCTGCTGTCTGCAAAGACCATGTTCTCATCACTGCTTCAGGCTTTTCAGCCCTTTTATACATTTTTAATGTATTGTATTAAATTCTGTTTAGGTACAAACAAATTTAACTAATTGTTTAACAGATATTACAGAGATGGTTTAAAATGTAGCTCTGCCAGAATATACCTTACATATATTTTTGCTGCCACTTTGCAGACAGCAGAAAGGTCCTGGTGTTGCCAGGCAGGTGTGGGACCCCTTGGGTTCCCCCTGCTGTGTTTTGGGTCAGAATACCCCTAACTGCAGCCTATCATGGAGCCAACAACATGGCACAGCAGCAGAGTGCTGGATCCTTCTGCCTGTTTTTCCATCCTCAGGACTGGAAAGGGGAGAAACATAAAATCACAGAACGGTTTATGTTAAATGGGACCTTAAAGCTCATCTTGTTCCGCTCCTGCCACAGGAAGGGACACATCCCACAGGGCCCATCCAACCTGGCCTGGAGGCCAGGAAGGCTCGTGGTGGCAGTGGAGACCCTGGTACAGGAGCACCTCCACCCCGTGGCACTGGCTGAAGCAGCACAAACTGCTCCACGAGAGGCCTCCTGACAGCTGCCATTATTTGCTGCCACTGTTAATTCTGTCAGAAATGTGAGTTTTGGGCCACCACTGGGGTAGCTAAGCAGTGGTGCAGAGACCTGTGCATCAGGGTCACCTTGAAGCAAACTAAGCCTCCTCAGCACGAGGCCTTTGACCCCTCAGCCCGTTGTCCCTGTCTGAGGCCGGGATGGATGTGGAAGGGGGTGCTGGTGGGGATGGCAGTGCTGCTGCACAGACATCAGGGGCTGCAGAAACCTCAGAGAGGAGCTGTGTGAAAGGAGTGTTGAAAAGCAAGTCTAGCAAGAAGGTGGGACGGGGGAATGACCCCTGGGCACTGTCTGTCTGCAGGGAAAAGCCTGTGGGAAGGAGACATGATGGCTACACAGAATCAGAGAAGCTTTTAAGTTGGAAAAGATCTCTGAGATCATCAAGTCCCCAGCACTGCCAAGACCACCTCTAAAACATGCCCCCAAGTGCCACACAGCTTTTAAATCCCTCCAGGGATGGGGACTCCACCACTGCCCTGGGCAGCCTGTGCCAGTGCCTGGCCACTCTTCTCATGAAGAAATCGTTCCTAATATCCAACCTAAACCTCCCCTGGTGCAACTTGAGGCTGTTTCCTCTTGTCCTGTCAGGTGGTACTTGGGAGAAGAGACTGATCCCACCTGGCTGCTGCAGAAGGGGAATATTTAGAGAGAGCAGAGCTCAAACAGGTCTGCAGACACAGACAGGGGACCAAGAGATCAGGGGTTGGAGTGGTACTGGGCTTTTCTATTAAAGAGATGTTTGTGATCAGCTTCACAGTGCCAGGGGAAGGTGTCAACCTGCATAAGAAAGTCCTCTCTAATGTTTGACTTAAAGGATCTGGCTACTCATAAACCAAAACCCTCTTCTTTTCCACGTGGGAGGAGAATGGAAAGGCATATACGTGTTTGGGAGCTTGACCCTATTGGAGTTAGACTGGTTTTAGGGCTAATTCACACTCCAAATTGCTGCTGCCTTCAATGCTGGAAACCAGAGAAAGCCCTGTGGAGGGGAGGGGTGATGCCATCAAATCCAGTGATGCCTCACAGCCCAACCTGATCAGTCCACAGCCAACTTTCCAGATGCCAGACACCCTCCCTGAGGCCATCCCATGGGAGCTGGAGGGAGAGGCAGTGGCCTGTTAACTGAGCAGGGAATGGGCAACACCACTGGCTGCAAAACAGCTCCACAATGAGGGTTTTAAGAAGCAGCACATGGGCTTGGTGTTGTGAAGGAGACACCTCGCTGAAGGAGAAGACACCAATCTCAGAGAGAGCAGAGGCTCCTCACCCTGTGTGAGCTGCCTGTGCTGCTTCCTCCCAGGAAAAGTGGCCAAAGGAGGCTGGAGGAGAAGTGGCAGTCTCTGTTCTTGGCTCACTCATGAATCTTTGCACAAGTTTTCAAACCACAGCAAAAGTTTGGCAAGAAAACATCCCATGGCAGAGGGAGTGGAAGCATCCAGCACTCAGAGAGGTGGCACCCAGACCTTGGGTTTGTTTTGATTAGTTTAAACCTGGCTGCACTGAAAACAAAAGGTAATTCAAAGCCTGGGAGAGGATTCACCAGCTGGTAAATGAACACTTGTATGGGGAGTAAAACTTGGGGGTTTGTGTGGTTTTTGGTACAAAGGGTAGGTAAAAATGTGTTTTGTTAGGAGCAGTGATACAGTCTTCACCACCATCTGTAAAGAAGCCTGGGGAGCACAGTTCTTAGCACACACAAAACAGATCTATCAGCAAATCCCAGGAGACTGAGAGAAAAAAAGTTATGGTAAAGTTCAAATTCATCACATACAGATACAACATGCACTGGGAGAGGAGAGGAGCAGTTTATAAACTGGATAATGTCAAGGTGTCATGGCTGGAGTCACTTATTTGCTGCCCTTCTGGAAAAATCCTTTAGAATTTAATAATTTAATGGCAAGTTGTGTGATCTACTGGGCTCATTAGCAGGGAGACAGCTGTCCCTGTAGGGCTGGCCAGAAATCCTATGGGAAAGTTGTTTGGTTATTAATTTTAATCTGTTTATTTAATTAATTGTTTCTTAATGACCCCATAGAGATTTGTGCACGTGACAGAAACACTCCCCCAACCCAGCCTGTGTGGGCTCTCCATTCCCATCACTTCTCACCCTCACCCTGCCCACGGCCGGGCAGGAGCCCCGGGGGACACGAGGGGGTGTGTGTGCCCTGCAGAGCACCTCACACCATAACACAGCAGAGCCCTTTTGGGCTTTCCCCTCTATTAAATTCAACAGGATTTTTCCATTAATAGGCAAAAAATGGCCCGGGGACAGATTTGCTGAACGAGAAAGAGCTGCTTCCTGGCAGAGGCAGCGGCACTGTCGTTCTCATCAGAGCCTTTCACAAGAGCCTTTGGGGCAGGCAGCTGTGCTCAGCTCCCTGGAAAGAGCAGAGCTGATGGAAAAACAGGCTGCCAGGTCACCCAAGGACATTCCCAAATCCCAGAGGCAGCTCCAGGGAATCAGGCTGGTAGGGAGAAGGTGCAATGTCTTTGACAGGGCCCAGCTTTGTTTATGAACGGAGCGAACGGGACTTACCGCGATCTCGGTTACTAAAATATCAGTAATACTTCCCAACACTGTGACAAAATCAAAGACATTCCAGGCATCTCGGAAATAATTCTGCCAAATGAAAACACAAGGGGAGGGACAGAGGGATCCAGGGGTTATTTTCTTCCCTTTTTTTGTTTTCTTTTCTTGCTTGTTTTTAAATGCGCGTCACGAAATACGAGCGTTCCGTGGAGAGGGGAAGCAGGGGAAGGTGAAGGAGGAAGGCACGTACCAGCACACCAAAGGCAATGATCTTCAGCACACATTCCATTGAAAACATGGATGTAAACACAATATTCAGGCATTTCAGCATTTCTTCATATGCTTCTGGAGCATCATAGAACTAAAGCAGGATGGAAGAAAAGCTGTTATCAGACAATCAGGTACAGAATAAAACCTTTCCCAGCTGACTTGCCCGACTGCAAAAATCCTGCTTGATTTAGTGTTGGATTTTGTGCTCACTTCAAGCAAGATTAGGGGTTACAAAAAGTTATTTATGTCCCTCCGGAAGGACACTCCTCCCTACATACTGTCCCAGCTGGAGATATCCCCAACACTGGAGCTGCTGGTAGACATCCCCCTGTAAGCACAACATGGGCCAGGAGGGAGGAAGGGCATTTTCAAAACCAGAGGACAAGTGCAGCACTGTGGGTCGTTCCAGAAGACCCTAAGAATAAGGTGACCCCATGACTGTGAAGATACTCTAAGATAGGCAAGGGAGAGGAGGGGACATCACCCAAAATGTGTCTCCACCCACATCTCGCTCCTGAGCACTGGGGATCACATCCCAGAGTTCTGAGGCTGTTGCAAAATTGAGCCATTTCATAGAATAACAATGGTTTGGGTTGGAAGGGACCTTAAAGTCCATCTCAATCCACCCCCTGCCATGGGCAGGGACACCTTGCACTAGCCCAGGTTGCTCCAAGCCCTGTCCAGCCTGGCCTTGGACACTTCCAGGGATGGGGCAGCCACAGCTTCTTGGGGAATTCCATCTCAACCCCTCATCATCTTCAAAGGGAAGAGTTTCTTCCCAATATCCCATCTAAATCTCTTCTCTTTCAGTTTGAATTTCCTTGGCATGACTGGATTTTGAGCAAGACGTGGCCCTGCTCTGCAGCAGGAAGCCCAGGCTGAGCTGGAGCTCAGGACCTGCAGAGCCCAGCTCCCACCCCACTGGAGGGGCTACGAGCCAAACCAACACCGTGCAGGGGAACATTCCCAGGATCCCATCACAGCTGAACCACCTCCCTTGGGAGACCAAAGGAATCCCACCAGGAATCTGAGGAGCGGTGGTTGCTCCTGATGACCCCCCCCAGTCCAAATCTTCTCCATCCAACACCACAGTCAGGCCCCAAAACCTGCCCAGGATTCAGTAAGATCCCACTGACCTTCATCATGAGGACGATGGTGTTGAGGGCGATCATGACCATGATAAAATACTCGAAGGGAGGGGACACCACGAATTTCCACATCTTGTACTGGAAGGATTGCTTGTTCTGGGGCATGTACCGGGTCAGGGGCTTGGCACTTATGGCAAAGTCTATGCAGGCCCTCTACAAAACAGAAGTGGGGTGAAAAATGATGGAAAAAGGGCTGGGAGTCTCCATCCCTCGGGATATGGTTGGGAGAGCGAGCAGAGAATTCAGAGGGGGGTATTTCTAAGTGACTGTTCCTGTAAAATCCAGCACAGAATCCCCAAATCATGATAAATGTTGCTGGAATATTAACCCCCCAACACCCCTGCAGTCCTAGGAGACCACCTTCCATCAGAGCCCAGCTCCTGATAGGTCCCACTCCCTTCCCTAAGTGGTTTTAAATCCACAGGTTCACTTCAGAAAACACTGAATTCCTCCTGATGGGTAATTGTAGAAACAAGGGGATGTTATCTAAAATAAAGATGTTATCTATGGGTTTAAAAAGTTATTGTAAAACTCAGGTATGTTCTGACACCTGCACAGCTCAGAACGTTTCATGAAATGTGGACTGACCCCAGCCAATGAATTAATCACCAAATAGCTCTGGGTGAACTCTCACAGACCCCCTTTGTTGGTTATTTCTCTTCACATTATTAGGAATATAAAACTGCATTAAAAATTGGTTTCTACCCACAACAAGTTTTGATTCTGGAGGATTTTCTCTTAACTTTCCCATTTTCAAAGCCTTATATCACTGCAAAAATACTTTCTGCTCAGTTGAAAAATAACGTGGGTGAAGCATCCCTAAATATTCTGCTTTATTTTGGACTTTTTGGTCACGTGGACAAACGAGGAACTAATTAATAATTGAATAAAAAAATCATCTCTTTTCATCAAAAATCAAGGTCCAGTTTAAAAATCCATGAAAAGAGATGGTTCTTTGCACAACAGGTCGTTGAGGCTGTGGGACCCCAGACAAAGGATGTTGCAGATGCTGAAAATCTGCTTGGGTTCAGAAGGAAACCGGATACATCCAAGGAAGATACACAGATGCCACTAACTAAATTAAAAACGTGTCCAACTCAGGACATTCCTGAGCTGAAAATGATGGTATTTGCTGGAGATTTCAAGAAAAGCCTCACAGGGTCTTGCCTTGGTCTTACACTCTTCTCAAGGCACCTACTTTTGGGGGAAATCATCTCAGCCAGGCCCAAAGCCAGCCTGGGGAGAGGAGCTTTCTCTGGGGAGTCAAAACAGTTGTAGTTTGGTTTCTAAAAGGCCACAGATTTGTCTCCTTTCACACCCACATTCTTGAGCAAACATGGAAGGCAGGACTGGTTTGGGTTGGAAGGGATGTTAAAGCCCATCCAGTCCCACCCCTGCCATGGGCAGGGACACCTTCCACCAGCCCAGGTTGCTCCAAGCCCTGTCCAACCTGGCCTTGGACACTTCCAGGGATCCAGGGGCAGCCACAGCTTCTCTGGGCAACCTGGGCCAGTGCAGGTCCATGTTCTCTTTGCAGCAGAGGTGTGGCCCAAGGGGACACCTGACAGTGGGCACTCGGGGGCTTTCCCTGGCTTTGTTTCTGTGCAAAAGCTGACAGGCAGTCGTGTGTTTGGTCTCCACAGCACAAACCCTCAGATAACCACTGCTCTCCACCCCCCATGGCACAAGAAGGAGGAAGGAGGGGGTTCCACTGCTGCTCTGAGCCCCCCAGGTGCCAACTGTGCATTCCGAAGACGGGGGTACCTCGTTTTTCTCGAGGCTGCACTCTGACATCACTTTATCTCCTTGCTCTTGGAAGGTGATGATGATTAAAGCCACAAAGATGTTCACAAAGAAAAAAGGGAAGACAACAAAATACACCACGTAAAAGATGGACATTTCCATCCTGTAGCCAGGGCTGGGACCCTGCTCCTCGTAGGTGGCGTCCACCGAGTGCTTCAACACACTGCAATCAAGGGCAGAGAGAGGAGAAAAGTCAACAATAATCACTGTGAAGCACCTCAAAGTCGCTCACTGGCCTTCACTCAACGTGGAGGGTTGTCCACATATGCTCAGGTCAAACCCCTTCCCAACTATATGGCTGGGAAGGAGTTTTCCTTGAGGATATTTTGACAGGAAACCCTTCCTGGTTTCACCCCATGAAAACCAAAGCAATCACTGTGAAGTACCTCATGGTCACTCACTGGCCTTCACTCAACGTGGAGGGTTGTCCACATATGCTCAGGTCAAACCCCTTCCCATCTTTATGGCTGGGAAGGTGTTTTCCTTGAGGATATTTTTGTAGGAAACCCTTCCTGGTGTCACCATTCTGCAGAATGATGATTTGCTAAGTACAGATCCACTGATCCCCCCTGGCCAAGGGCAGAGGATCCAGGGGGATCTGCCTTCCCTTCTCTGGTCAACAGGGGTGAAGGAAGAGTGGGCAAAGAGAGGTATTGATGATGTCTGAGGAAGGGAACACAGTGAGGGACTGGAAAAGGGAGACTGGTGCTGGTTTATTCTTTATTTCCACAGAATATGCTGAGTTAGAATGGACCCACAGGGATATTTTATGAAATAGTTGAACGTGGAGGACAGGGAAACCCTGATCACAAACTGCACTCCACATGTCCCAGGAGCAAAGTGTGCCAAAATAAAGTCACATGCTGAGCAGTAAATATCATTTGAGGACTGTCATACTCTCAGCACAGGTCACAATACTTTTCCCCCCTCATTTTCTTACATTTCCATGAGCAGCTTTACATCTGAGAAAGGTGGGCAAGTCCAAAAGCCTGAAGCAAGCACTGAAAACTGCCTGAGAGTCAGAGGAACAGCGAGAAAAACACAGATTCACCCAATGCTGCTTCACCCAGTGACCACACAAAGGAAGGAAAAGCTTAGCTGAGAAAAGCCTCTTCTCATTTCCCATTTCCAAGCCCCTCAGAGCTGTGGGAAGGTGCCTTCACCTCCCCAGTCACTGCCCCTGCCAGCCCCGGGTACTCACGTCGGCCACCCTTCCCCCGTGGACACGGTGAAGAGCGTGAGCAGAGCCCAGAGCACGTTGTCATAGTGGAACTCGTATTTTTTCCATTCCCTGGGCTGGGCCTCCACCTCATTCTTTTCATAATCGAGGTACTGACCCCTAAGAAAAAGAGAGATTCGGAGCAAATGAGGGGATTAAACCAAACCAGCCGTTTCTTGGGAGTCACCGAGGAGCATCGAGAAGCCCCGGTGGGTGGCACAGGGATTAAAGACAGAGGCAGCCCCCCTAGGCTTGGGACAGAAGTCAAGGCCAATTTCTGAGCCATTTTCAGCACAGGAACTGGATCTGAGGCCTCAAAATAAAAGAAATTGTAATCAGGGCGTTCATCCATTCATTAGGCAAAGCCAGCAATTAACAGCTGGTCCCCAAATCGTGTGACCCCACAGAAAACTGGGCTGCTTGATGGGGAAAGGGCTCTGGTTCCTATTTCAGGGTTGGAACTAAACCCTAAAGGGGTCTTGTTTTAGGGGTCAAGGGACTTGGCATCTGGAGAGCTCCCCTCCAACCTACGCTTCTGTGTAACTTCACTTTCTTTCTATAATATATTTATATAATTCCAAATATATTTACATCATTCCAAGGAAGTGACAGCCCCCGTGACTGCCAGGATCCCACCAGGGACATGCCCTGCATGCACAAGGCAGCAGGAGAGGGATGGGCAGAGCTGGATGGTGCTGAGGATGTGCTTTGGGTGCCAAGAAAAAAGGCAAATGAGGAAGATGCACACTGAGGTAACACACCTTGAGCCTGCTGGAAGGGCAAGACATGACAGGGCTTTTAAGGTGTTCAATCCCTTTTCTCACTAATTAGGAGCTCTTTGACTTCCTAAGCTTCTGATTATTTAGTCATTATGTTTTTCCAGTTCCTAGGAGTTCTAAGGATCAAGGCAACAGGCGGAAAGAGGAGTCACACTGTCAAAAACCCTCCAACCCCTCAAACCCCCTTGATTTAAAAACCACCCCTAGACCTCCTTGGGAAGGAAGGTGACTCCCCTGCATCCTTAAGCATTTGGGGAAGCATTTGCTGGATCAGAGCCAGGAATGACACAGCTATTAAAGAAGGAAAAGGAGAATTCACCTCTAGGGTAACTGTGCTGGTGTTGCTCTCACTTAGAGGAGACTCTTCGTGCTCAGCAGCTGATTCAGCTTTGGGACAACCTGGGGAGCTGCTGCTGGAGGAGGAAAGTTGCTGCCCACCCTGGCCCTGCCCCCAGCTGTACCTGCAGTCCTTCTCCAGCTCCTTGGACTCATCAGTGCAGTAGAAGAATCTGCCCTTGAAGAGCTGCACGGCAATGACGGCAAAAATGAACATGAAGAGCATGTAAACGATGAGGATGTTGAGGACGTTCTTCAGGGAGTTCACCACACAGTCAAAGACAGCCTGGGAGGGAGGAGAACGAGGTCAAGGGGTTGGGAGAGAGGAAAAGTGCATCCAGCAGCTTGGCATCCATCTGAGCACACTTCGTACACTCGTGGAATCATTGGCTTGGGTTGGAAGGGACCTTAAAGATCACCCAGTGCCATGGGCAGGGACACCTGCCACTAGCCCAGGTGGCTCCAAACCCAACCTGGCCTTGAACCCTTCCAGGGATGGGGCAGCCACAGCTTCTCTGGGAATTCTATCACAGGGAAGAATTCCTTCCCAATATCCAACCTAAATCTCATCACCCAACCCACAACCCAGGGGTGGGTTCATGGAACTTGCCCACCAAGGGTTTGACCAAACAGTAACTCCAGCTTCCTTCAGCTCCTGCTTTCTTGGCAAGTTTGGCTGTGCCACTGAATTTTCTGGGCTTGCCCATAAAATTTATAAAGACAATCACAGCTTGTTGAGATCAGCATTTGTCCTAAACAAACATTCCCATGGCCAATTATGAAATGAAAATTGTACTTGTGTTTATTTTACTCACGTACTGGATAAGTAAAAACTACCTGAATAATAAGGAAAATATACCAGATGCAAACCAAATGCTTTAAATAATATTTTTCTAAAGGACTGTCTCTCCAAATTAAGTGTGACTAACCCAGTCTGCACATGTCACTTCTGAACTCCCTGCAAAGAACTCTTCAAACACATTTATTACTTGGTTATTAGTCCCTGCTGCACTGTTACAAGTAACCTGCAGTTTGATTTTAGTAGGAGAAGTTGGTCCTAATCATAGAAATGGAGTGGTCTTAGTGCCCAAGCTCAGGGTTTGTACAATACTGCTCCTGCTTCCAGGAATGGAAGGGAATAATTCCCAAAGTTACACTCCTGAAGCAACCCAGAAACCCTGAATTGAAACACTGGGAATATCTCTCATCAGCCCATTGATCCTGCTGATTGTTTCTCACGAGACCACATCCAGTAAAAAAAAAAAAAAAAAAGAATTGAAATAATTTTGAAGACTTTTAATCCTAGAATTGTTTAGGTTGGAGAAGATCTCTTGGGATCATCGATCCTAACCATTAACCCAGCACTGCCAAGTGAGAGGACCAAAATGGACCCAAGTTCAGTTAAAAAACACAACTTCTGCTTCACATAAAGATTTCTGAGTATTTCTTTTGAAATTAGAAAACCACCCTGTTTGAAAATCAGACAGGAATCAACAAAAATCAAGTGTTCAGTGTCCTGCTGGAGGACTGAGCTACTGCTGACTATTTTGTTTTTTACCTCAGAGCTTTACATTTTAAATTTCTAACCAAATGAAGACCTTTTTCTGCATTGTCCAACATGAATGTTCCTTATCTTTTCAGAGACATTTAGTATGCATAAAATCAGAATTATTTCAGCCTGAATAGTGGGCAAGGATAAAAGCAAACCTATAGAACAGCTGACCCTCATTTTGATGTGAAATCAGGAACTGTCAGACAAAAGCACCCACTGCTCTTCCCCCACCTCTCACAGAATATTCAGCAGGTATTCAAGAGTTCTCAAATCTCAGAAATTATTGAATTTTGTTAACTCCTTCCTTTCTCTGCTTCCAGGGAGTGGCTGTACCTCAAAGGGTTGGTGAAATGGCGTTGAATGAGTAACCACGGGTCACTACGTTTATTTTAATTTGTAGCTTAGTGTTGTAGAGGTGAAAAGGTACAGCTCTAAAACCCTGCACTATGGATTATTTATCAGAAAGATGAACAGATTGAAACTCCTCACACAGCAATGACATTTCTCTTTTGACAGCCCGTGGCAAATCTTGCAATATTCACGTTAAACTCTCCAGGGAAAGCCAAACACTCCAACCCCCATTTTCTCCTGTATCATTTCTGAGAGCATCCCACTTGTGAGCTGTAAATTAATCTACTCGAGGGTGGGGTTTTTTTTTATTTCTTTTCTTTTTTTAGGAGTTTTATTTTCGCGTGGGTCCACAACAATTCATAACATGGCCCACGATGTTTGCAACAGAAACAAAGTGTTTGACGTTTGCTAAACATCTGCACAGCTATTTTTACCCATCTGGCAAAGGGATTAATTGCAACAAAATCAAAGGAGCAGAAATAACTTGGGTTGGGTCCATCGGCTTCTACTCAGCTCACTCACAAAGCTCCAGAGAAGGAAAAATTGGGGGTTATTTTCTAACCTTTAGCTTTGGCAGCCTCTTGATGGTTTTCAGAGGTCTGAGGACCCGCAGGACTCGCAGGGACTTGATGGTGTTGATGTCCTTGCCTTTGGTTCCTCTGCAAGGGAGAAAAGGCACAAGAACAACAATAATTTGGTCCTCAGGTCGCCAACCCGGATATTTGTAGGTTCCCAGTGTGGTTTTGGTGGTGGAACTGCTTTGCTTTGGGGTGTTTGTTACAGGTTTGGGGTCCGTCCTCAGCGTGGCCGCAGATGAGCCCCACCTGAGCCGTGTCCAGCAGCGCCGTGGGCAGGACGTGGGCCTGGCACTGCTCCCCACAGGAGCCTCCTCTCCCTTCCCAGCTACTCACCGAGCATCCCCCAGGATCTGGGGCCCTTCCTGCCCCGACTCCACACCCAGGCAACAGTTCCTGCTCCAGCCACCGGGAGAGGAGGCTCAGCACGTCCGTCCCAGCCCCAGGAGAAGGGACAAAGTCACACTCGGCTCTCCTTCCTCCCAAGGGAGTGAGGCAGGAGGAGGTTTCTCCGTGCACTTCTCCGGCAGGAACATTGTGACCAGAGGGAACAGGAGCCTTCCAGGTGAGGGACAGAGCCTCGTCCTTGGGTGTCTCTTGGAAGACATGCTACCAAACCCATGCAGGAACATGTAATATTGCAGCATATTACATGCCTGGAGCAGCGCTGGGGCAGCTTCCCACTTAGGCATGCAAGGGGCTGTAAGTCACAGCCTGGGTTTGGGTTTGGTTAAAACTGAGTGCAAGGCTTGAGAAGGTTCCCCTTGTTAACGTCAGGAGGTTTTTTAGGGGAAGGACAGAGTTCCTTTCCTCGTGCACTTCCGAAAATAAATAAATAAGAAAAGACACAGTGACATCTTCTTCCAACCCAACAGCAAAACAATGACATTCCCCTTCGGTTCATATGAAGTGAAAAATGGGATGAAAGTCTCTCACAGGGTTTTATTCATGAGTGTGGGTTTGGGTCTGAGACTGTACTGAGGTGACACAGGTGTGAATGAGGAACACGTGGAGCAGATGCTGGAACACCTATTCTATGCTCTCCCAGTTGGCTCCTTCTCCAAGAGGAAGGAAATAAATGCACAAGTGACCCCAGAGACCCACAGGAGGTTTGTGCAGGGCCTGCAGAGCTTCCCCCACCCTCTGGCCACCAGCCCTCCACATTGTGCTCAGGGAGAAGCACCAAGAGTGCAGGAAACCACCCGATTTCGTGGCTGACTGACCTTGCTCAGCCCTGCAAAGTGTCTTTTTGCAATCAATCCACTGCCAGAAGGCTTAGAACTCACTGCTGACACTGGAACTCAATCCTAAACTGGACTGGAATCTACAACCCATCTCATCTCTCTCTTCTCTTCAATAACCAGGCCCTGCAGTTGTCCTGGAACACAATAAGATACAGGAATGTTTGGAGGGCTCTGGGTTGGATCCCAGTGACATCTCCACTGAACACAAATTGCCTTTCCAAAGGATTTAATATAGGGGGAGAGGGTGAACAGGATGGAGAGGTGCCATCTCTCCCTCTCTCATCTTTCAGGGCTGCTTTAGGGCCATTCTAATCCATCCCAGGTGGATCCTGACTGCTGGCACGGCTGTAAATCCAGGTGATGGAGCTGATACTCAGGACTGATTTAATGCCACAAAATACCCATTATATATTTAAAAGAAATAGTATTTGATACTCATTAGAAACCCTTTAATCTGTTCTAAATGAAGCAGGCACTGCCAACAGAGCTTTCCCCGGCTTTCTTGTCAGGTTTTGGCACAGCTGAAGGTCTGGCCCATGCTTGGCTTGGCATATTTGCTTTCAACTCCCCCAACTCCCAGCCAGTACCATCCCTGCTGTGGTCACTGTGTCACCACAGCTCACCTGGAGCTCACCTGCTCCAAGGGGGCTTTGTCTGAGCCCTGGCTGCAAAATCATTTGTTCATCCTCTCAAGGAGGGCATTCAGTGGCAGGAGGGAAGTAGAAAGGGAAATGGGTTGTAGGGAAGGAGATCCCAAAGGAGATCCCAAAGGAGATCCCACCTGGCCTGGCCAGCCTGTTCCCAGGGCTGATGGTCCTCCCATCCCTTTGGCTGCCCCTGCTGCTCCCTCCACCCTCTCCCCTCTGGAAGGCCAAGCAAATCCCTTACACTGCTCCACATTTCCCAGGATTTCCCTCCCTGAGGGAGGTGGGAGCTGAGGAAAGCAGAGAAGAGTGAAAGTGAGACAGTTAAAGGCCATGTTGTGGCAGGAGGAGGGAAAAAAAAGAGATGGGATGCTCAGCCCAGAACTCTACTCATTCTCCATCACTGGCGGCCACGTTTCTGGTTTGCAGATTAACACACAGCCCAAAAAAACAAACCTCAGCACTGCTCTCCTGGGCTCACCCAGAACTCCAGAAGAGCTCCATGTGCTGTCTGCCAGTGCTCCCAGTTCCAGGAGACCTGGACACCTGCCCCACACTAATTAACAACTGCACTAATTAGGCCTCGTGGAAGGCGAAGTTCCAGACCAGACTCGGCTCTGGTCTCACAGGGTTGGCCCCACTCCTGAAGGAACAACTCTCGTGGACTCAACATTTGGAGGGAGGTCAAAATATTTGTAGGGAGGTCAAACAGACCTTCTGGGGCTCATGTCTCCATAGGGCAGAGCAAATCCTTGCTCCTGCTTTTCCCTGGCCTGGGGGGGGTGTGGATGAGCGCCCCGAGAGCTGGGAGGTGAAGGGCAGCCAGCTCCAGTCACACCCAATTCCTTCTGCCTCAGAGGAGGACACTCAGAAGGGCTGATTTCTCTTTCTCCATTCAGGCACTTAAGCAAATAAAGAGCGTGAGCCAATTAAATGTTAATGGGATTTCTGCTCTGAGCCGTACAGAGAATCCTGAAAAACATCCTGATTTCTTGTCGCAGGAAGGTTCCTGCTCCAGGACAAAGCTTTTCCAATGTCCTGGTGCTCTGAACTGGAGGGATGCAAATTGCTTTTTAAATTAAAGGACACCCTGCAACTCTTTCAGCCTCTCAAATAAAGACCCTCGGGGTTGTTTTTGGTGTTTTTAAGGAGCCCCTCTACCAATATTGGGGTTTTTTTTTCACTGCTTTAATACAAAGCCAGATGTCCAACAAAACAAAAGGTCCAGATGGAAGCAGGATTCAGTCAAAAGGTGTATCCAAGCACACATTTGACCTGAATATTCCTCACAACAAAAATAAATTGCTGTGGAAGGGCAAGATCTCAGCTGACTGCAGAAGAACAACTACAAAATTCAGAAGAGCTGAATTTGGAAGAAGAGCTGCAGAGGGTCACAGGATAAAGGCAGGCAGCAAACAGCAGCCTAGAGACTTAAAAAATAATAATAACAATAAAAGAATTCCATGAATAAAAAAAATTGCATTAGATCAATTTTAGTTGCATCAGGCCAGTTCTGGGTGTTGTTTTTTTTTCCTGTGGCAGTTTGCTGCTCGTTTATTTAAAACATTAAAAACATTTTAAAAGAGCTTCGCGAAGCCTTTTTTTTTTTTTTCCCCTTCAATAAATCAAAAAGAGCCTTTAAAAAATTGACGAGTCCTTTCAAATGGAAGCTCCCTGTTTCTGTTGCTGCTGCCAGCAGCTCTGATTTCACACCACATGGGCTTCTCAGCATCGTGGCATCAAAAATTCAGGGCAGGGCGGAGCCGCCGCCGCCTGCGAGTGCCCCAAAGCCCCAAGGCAGGGGGTGAATTCCTCCACTGAGGAGGAAAGGAGGTCACACCACTCTGCCACAAACACAAAGCCTCCCTTTTCCTGCCTCTAAACTCTCTGCTTTCCTAGAGGGAAGAAAGAATGGAGCACCTGATTCCCTGGATCACATCAAAGGCCTTCCTTTGCGTCCTTTCTGTGGCATCTCCGCTGTGGAGGAGCCCACCCAGCTCCTGCCCTGCTGGGGTTGAGGTGGGAGATGACACAGCTCTGGCCCCAAAAGCAGACAGCAAAACTGCCACCTCCTTGGAGGGCATTAAATAGGACTTTTCGACCCCCTTCCTTTGGAAGTTGCCCCTTCCAGCCTCTCATAAAACTCTCCACGCTCTGTTCTTTTATCAGAGACTCCTCAGAGCCGGGTGGCATCGCCCAGGCTGCACTGAGTTGGTCCTGAAGCTTCCAGCAGTGCTGTTTGGAGGTGAAATCCTCCAAAAGAGAATAAACCTGCTCCTTTACACCTAATTATTAACATTTCCAGGAGTTGCAACTCGCCCATCAACGATGCACCCACTGAGTCACCCCCTCAAACCCTTCTGGCACAGATATATCTGCGTGTGCTTTGGTCAAGACTCCCTGATCTGCTTGGCTTTCTGCCTCTGCCTAAAGAAAACCGGGATGAATGAGGATTGTTAAGGGACACTTCACTGGATAATGGGTAAAAAAGGGACGGAGGAGTCGATGCAATGGGTGGCACATGAGCTGTTTCCACAGTGGTGACTGTTGGACAGGCAAAACAGTGCAGCAAGAGACAGGAATAACATATTACCCCATGAAACTCCTAGAGAGAGATTCCAGCGAGGAGAAGACAAAGAAAGAGCAGAGTCAATGACAAACAGCAACATCAGAGCCCCCCCTGCACACAGAGACCCCCACACCCCCCTCTCAGCAGCAGGAGAATAAAGGAGCCCCAGCCCTTCCACTCGGGAGCAAAGAAACCCCCAAAGGTCCTGTCCAAATGTGTGGCTGGGGCATGTTCATGTCCTCAAAAAGAAAGGGATTTCTCCTTGAAATGCATTGCTGAATGGCTACATTTAATTAATTCTTTATCATCAGCATCAGTGGTGTTGTTTCTGGCATCTCTCCGGGGACTCCCTCTAAATTTTATTTTAATTATTTTTTAATTTATTTCCTTTAAAATATTTTAATTATTTTTTTTAAAAAAATTATTTCCTTTAAAAATATTTCAATATTTTTAATTTATTTCTTTCAAAATATTTGAATTAATCAGCCCTTCCAGTCACATGAAAATAAACCTCCAAATGTCCCTTCCCCCTCCTCCCCTGCTCCTCAGCAGCTGTTTTTTTAACCAACCAGGTACATTTTACACCTGGAGCTGATGGGTTTTGATGACAAATTTTGCTCGCAAAGTTTACTTTAAGCTTCTTTAATTCTATTTCCCTCAAGACTCAAACATGTCTGTGTGTTTGTGGCATGTTCATCTCCACAAAAATAAAGGAATGTCTCCTTGAAATGCATTGCTGAATGGCTACATTTAATTAATTCTTTATCATCAGCATCAGTGGTGTTGTTTCTGGCATCTCTCCAAGGACTCCTTCTAAAATTTATTTTAATTATTTTTTAATTTATTTCCTTTAAAATATTTTAATTATTTTTTAAAATTTATTTCCTTTAAAATATTTTAATTATTTTTTTAAAAAATTATTTCCTTTAAAATATTTCAATTTTTTTTTAATTTATTTCTTTTAAAATATTTGAATTAATCAGCCCTTCCACTCACATGAAAATAAACTTCCAAATGTCCCTTCCCTCCCCCCGGACACTCTGGGAGGTGCAGCCTCAACTCTTTGGCAAATGCTGGTTGATTTTCCAAAGAGCATCAGGACATTCTGTGCATCTCCACCACCTTTGTGCTGCTCCTCAGCAGCTGTTTCTACCCACCAGGTACATTTTACACCTGGAGCTGATGGGTTTGGATGACAAATTTTGCTTGTAAATTTGCTTTAAGCTCCTTTACTTCTATTTCCCTGAAGGCTCAAACAAATCTGTGTGTTTGTGACATGTTTCTCTGTAGGAAAAGAAGGGAATTGCTCTTGGAAATGCATTGCTAAATGGATAATTTTAATTAATTTATTATCAGCAGCATCAGTGTTGTTGTTTTAAGCATCTCTCTGGGGCCTTTTTTAAAAATTTAATTTTTTTTTCTCAATTTTATTTATTTATTCTGAACTCCTTGTATGAATTTCTTTATTTTTTAACTCCGGTTAAGCACAGAACAGCTTCTAAAGAGGCAGAAAGCAGACCAGCAGCTGGTTGGAGAGGCTGAGCTGGGTTTGTTGAATCTTCCAGCAAGGCCTGATAACCATCTCATGTGCTTAAATAAACACAGGCTGTTGCAATATTCCAGCTGGGAGCCTTTCAGGGAGCTCTGTTATTCCCAGGTTTTTAGTGATGTGTCTGTTCAGCAGCTGCTTCAGACACCAGGGAGGTCAAGGACATGAATTAAATCCCACCTTGCACCAGGTGATTGTGTGTTCTGGCCACAATAAATAGATTTATTACACTGCTGGGGAGTGGCAGGGTTTGCTGGAAAAATCCAACCCAACAACAGAGATGATCCAGCTGATTCTCCACGAGCTCATTTTCAGGATTATCAAAATTCGGGGTGTCCAGTTTAACCAACCAAAGAGCTGGGGCAAGGACAGGACTCTCAAGTTTGCACCTGATTATTCTGTTATTATTTATAACTGGAACAGAGAGCAAATAATCCCCTGGGAGTGACTGAATTAAACCAGAAATACTTCAAATATTCTCTGAACTGGACATCAACACTCCCCTCCTACTGAAACGTGGATGTGGGGCAGAGGGTACAGAAATCACCAAAAGCACAGAAAAAATTCCAATTTTTCCAGGTCTCCCAATAGGTTTGTCTCTCTTTAATCTGGGAGACAGTAACCAGGCAGGTTTTATGCATTCCCTGACAAATTCTCACTCAGAAGGTAAAATAGAAGCAACTTGGGGCACTATTATAAAGCACAGGCAGGGGATGTAAAAGTAATTTATTTAGAGGCTGATGAGGTGCTGTTAGATATTCATGGCCCAATACAGAAAACCTGAGCATGAAAAGACTCCAAAAGATTAAAAATAATTCATTTTAATCCTTAACTTGACCAAAAGAAAAAAAAAATCTTGTTCAAAGGAAAGTCTTGCTCAAAGAGAAGAGATTTTCAAGGCAAACCCTGGTGTTTGTTCTCACAAAATGCTCCTTCTCCCGGTCTGCCCTGAACGTTTGAATTCCTGATGGGAAAGGGAAATTCTCATTGAACTGCAGACTTGGGGAATATTGTTTTGCAGATTAATACTTGTGACTGTGGCTATTTTCCTTTTCTATGTCTCTTCCATTCCGAGGAGCTCTGTGTTAACTTGCTAAGTGCTTTTTTAGGAGGGTTTTGCTTAGTCTGGCCACGTCCAGCTCTAAAAGCTGTTCTATAATATATCCCACAGGCAGGGAAAAGAAGCCCCACACATGTCTAGTCAAGCTTAAAAAGCAGCTTGGGTTTGGATGTTAAATTTTAGGTAAGTCATTCACCAGCCCAGCGATTCCATCTCGAGTTTTGCTTAGGACAGAGCACTCAGCTCCTTGAAAAATCTGATTTTTAACGAATGGGGACAAAGTTTTTAAAGAGGAGAGGGCACCATCCCTTTGAAAAACTTCTGCTGGACATGACTTTCTCAAAAACTTAAATAATTCTTTAATAATATAATTTAAATTAATAATTCTCGAGGATCAGGCACAGAAAGCCCAGATCCCAATATCCCCAAGTGTCACCCCTCAAAAATCACACCAACAATGTCAAGCCCATCTCCTTCAGTCCATCCACTTCTTGGAGGTTGGTTGGTTTGTTTGTTTGTTTGTTTGTTTTTAATCCAGCATTTATGGAAAATAGAAGATCTAAACCACAAATCTGAACGTGAAAGGAATTTTGACGCCTCAGAAAACGCAAAAATTCCTGAGAAATATCCCAGGCCACACTTCCCAGAAAGGACCCGGGAAGTTTTTGTGCTGCAAAAGGGGACACGTTTTCCACCAGCAGAGCTGACAGGAGGAGCCTGGGGAGGAAGCTTAAAAAAATGACTGTCAGTTTAAACTGGACAAGACACACTCCCGTGGTTCCCTGATGAAGGGGAACGCTTTTCTCCTTAGCAATTAAACCCTGCTAATTCTCATTAGCAAGTTAAACAATTGCGTGTTGACAAACAGGTGAGCGGAGCTGCGAAATTCTCCTGTAATTGCTCAAGGCTGATTTAGCAGAAGATTAAACTGCCCCAGTCCTGCGGGCTCTTTCCAGGTCATCTCCTGTTGTTTCTCCGGGAAACAATTGCAAACAACTCTTTCCACGGGCCTGGAAATACAGGTGGAAAATTTTCCTTTCATCGTCCAGCTCTGAACTCCCTGAGTTCTGAGGAACCTGCCTTAAAAAAGTTCTCAAAGGGAAGGCTAATCTTCATTTTGAAACGGCAATTCCTCTGTGTCCAGGGCTGAAAATCCTCCCTGACGTTAAAGAAGCCCAGGGAATGTTATTTAATGTCATAAATACCGAGCTGTGTTGGAGGGAGGGAGCAACGAGCCTTAAAAGTGAAACTGTGGAAATGCAAGTTCCCTGAATGAGAGAGGGGAAAAGAGCAGAGAAATGCCGAGGTCTGTGAACCAGAAACACTCACAACTCCAGAAATAATGTTTTGCAGGGAGTTCACTGAGTTATCAGCTGATTTCATTAACTCCTTTCTCACAGGGAGAGCAATTCTTACAACAATTGCCTGAAGACACTGGACTGCCACAAACTGTTACAATATGTTCTTGAAAAGAAGTTGGCCAAACAGTCACAACAATCTTGGCTTAATGTTTGAAGGAGCAGTGAATGGACTCACCCTAAAGCTGGAGGATTTTCAAGAGGTTCAACAGCACCAATTTAGTTGGGTTTATTTTTTTCTTCCCCCCCTCCAGCTACGAGATGAAAAAGGGCAGAAACTGAGCATTTCTCTGAGAAACGGGGCCACACGTGTTATGAATCAACTCTCTCTCTGTGCCAGGTCCTGCCTCCTCTGTGGTTATTCCCTAGAAATTGGGATGTTAAGGGAAGGTACTTACGAGAAGGCAAAGGCCACCAAGGCCCCACTGACCACAATGAAGTCCAGGATGTTCCACAGGTCACGGAAGTAGGAGCCAGGGTGGAGTAACAGCCCCAGGTCGATCATCTGGAGAGGAGGCACAGGAAAAGGAAGAGCTTTAATAAAACTCTGTACCAAATCAACACTGCCAAGGTGCAGGAGAATGTTCTTGAGCAAATGACCCTTCCCAAGTTGGAGATACTTGGCCAAGCTGCTCCTCTCCGAGAGGCACGAAGAGCTCTGCCAAAAATGAAGCTCGAGAGTCAAGAAACCAGAACCAAAAGCTCAAGAAAAGAGTCTCCACTGCAACCCAGGGTTCTCTGCACAGACAGCCATTAATCTGGGGGTTATTCTGCATCTCTTTTGCAGCTTGCTCTGACAGTAAAACCTACCCCAGGAATAAATCCGGACTTTATTAGGATTGGGCTTCCCGGAAAGTTGCTGCCCCACGGGCTCAGCAAAACCTGTCGCCCTACTGAGTAAAGTCAAAAGAGAAATGCTCAATTTTTTGAGATGTGACAGAGCAGGAATCAGTGGCTGTCAACATTCCAAAAGGAGAAGGGAAGATTCAGCCACGTCTCAGTGAGGTCTGTCAGCGCCTGTGTCTTTAACCACACACACCAGGCATTTCTTATCCTCTTACACAGCCACAGCTACTAAAGAGATCTTTATTTTCCTCCATAAATTGTGAGATTAAAGAAACCAGGAGAGCCACTGCAGAAGGACATCTGGCTTCTTTTGAGAGCTGTTCTCAAGTTAAAGCTTTCCATCACTGCCACCTCTCCAGGGAGTTCTGTCCTGCTCCACCCCTTCTCCAGCATCCCAGAAGTAGATGAATGTCAATTTAAAACAGGAGGTGAATCTTTCTGCTGGGAGAAATTCTTACCTTGATCACCATCTCAAAGGTAAAGACACCTGTAAATATATAATCCAAGTATTTCAGAGCCTAAATGGGAGAGAGAAATGTGTGTTAGGAGGGGCCACACACTGAAATAACACATAAAAAGTACAACATTATTCTAGCAATTGTTTATTTGGGTAAATATGATCTGACAGGAGCTTTTCAAATAGTTTAGGCACAAAATTTAAATCTGATTTTAAACAGTTACCTTAAACAGCAACATTTCTCCCAGTCCTTGCCAGACTCCACCCAAGGGTGGCTTCAGTGCACCTGCATTTATGGCAGGTTTATCCAGGGAAAAAGGGTATTTCACATGGAAATATTGGAATATCCTTTCCTAGGGAGCTCGTTCACCAGCCCCTTTGTGGTAGCTCAGGTTTCTGTTCTCTAGCTGAGGACAGTATTATTAAAGTGAAATACCACATGAGCAAGTAGTAAAACATTATTCTAGCAATGGTTTATTTGCTTTGATGGGTAAAAATCATCTGACAGGAGGTTTTCAAATAGTTTAGGCACAAAATTTAAATCTGATTTTAAACAGCTGACTTAAACAGCAGCATTTCTCCCAGTCCTTGCCAGACTCCACCCAAGGGTGGCTTCAGTGCACCTGCATTTATGGCAGGTTTATCCATGGAAATATTGGAATATCCTTTCCTAGAGAGCTTGTTCACCAGCCCCTGGGCAGCAGCCTGGGTTTATCTTCTCTGGCTGATGACAATGTTATTAAAGACCTCAGGAAAGTAAGAAAGTGATAAAATCCTTCTTGAAAACCTGATTCTACACTTATTAAGGATGAGGAAGAGAGATTTTGCTCATAGCTCCTTCAGCTCGTTATTGATGTGGGGATTCATGGATCTGCCTCTGGAAGAAGCTGATCCTGACCAGATTCAGGAGCTCGAGGCCAGGCCAGGCACCTCCTGCCCTGCTGAGCTCTGCTCTGGAGCAGTTCAGCTCCTCAGTCTGTTCAAGGGGTGGGTGAACACAGATTCCTTGGTACACAGCCTGGGAAAGCAACACCAGTCCCTGTAGGTCTCCTAGATTTGAGCACAATTCCGTGGATGGGATGCACCTCTTTGGAGTATCACAGAACTGAACAGAGTGGAGGGACAGTAAATCAATACAGATACGAGATCAAAGAATCATCAAGGTTGGAAAAGACCTCCAAGATCATCAAGTGCAACCTTTGACCAACCCCCCCCATGCCAATAACCCACATTGCAAAGTGCCACATTTCCTTGCTTTTTGACCCTTTCCAGGGCTGGTGACCCCACTGTTTCCCTGGACAGCCTGTCCCAATTCTTGACAACTCTTTCAGTGACGAATTTTTTTCCTAATATCCAACCCAAACCTCCCCTGGCACAACTGGAAGCCATAAATATCCTGTGATATCCACACCCTACAACCATCTACACTGATGAGTCCAAAATTAGGCTTCACCTTGCAGTGTCTATACTTAATTTCAGATCTCTCAACTCCCACTTGTCCATGTAACCACAGCCAGCTCTGTGCCAATGTCCTCATGGGAATGTGTTTGAAATAAGCCACCCAGCTGCTCCATGAACTCTCCTGGGCTGCATGTCCTCGTGTCAAAGGTGTCACACTCACATTTGTAACAGCATTGTCTCCAGAAATCCAAACAAGTGTGGTTTGACACCCACAGACAAGTACATCTGCTACAAATTCTTGGGAGATTTCTACCATGCCCCACCAAGATAAAAAAACACATATCTGATTTGACTTCCTCAGGCTCTGCTCTAGCAGGAGACCTTAGGACAATGCCCCATCCCTGGAAGTGTCCAAGGCCAGGTTGGATGGGCCTTGGAGCAATCTGGGATAGTGGAAGCTGGCCCTGCCCATGGCAGGGGGTGGGAGGGGGTGAGTTTTAAGCTTTTCCCAGCCCAAACCATGCTGTGATTCTCTGATTCTGTGTCAGCCCTGGCTGGTGACCAGGGAAGCCTTTCCCACTGCTGAATTGTGTCCCAGCTTTTCAGGCTTCTCCACACAAGTCATAAAGTGATTTCCAAGTGCTGAAACTCGGATGTGGTTGAAGCAGCAGAAAGGGAAAGGAATTGTGAGTATTTTGTCCCAGAATATGCTGAGCTGGGAGGGACTCACAAGGATCATCCAGTCCAACTCCTGGCCCTGCATAGAACTATCCCCAGGAGTCCCACCCTGTGCCCCAAGGGATCATCCAAACCCTCCTGGAGCTCTGTCAGCCTTGGGGCTGTGCCCACTGCCCTGGGGAGCCTGGTCAGTGCCCAACCAGCCTCTGGGGGAAGAACCTTTTGCTGAGATCCAACCTGACCCTGCCCTGGCACAGCTCCAGCCATTCCCTGGGTGCTGTCCCTGGTCCCCACAGTGCCCAACCACCCTTTGGGAGAAGAACCTTTTCTTGACCTCCAACCTCTCTGCAGAGTGGCCCAAGCACATCTGAGGATGTCACCAAAGCCAGCTCTAGTTCTGCACCGTGTCATCCTTCGGAGATGGGAACGGTGCTGGGAACGTGCCAGTCCACGTGCTGGGAGAAGCAGGGCAAGGTTACTCTGGCCACACTGGCTGGTACTCACATCATTCCTGGGTGACTCAGCTTGGACAGGGTCTTCTGCAGCCAGGGCAATGCTGCTGAGGGCGATGACTATCAGGATGACCATCTCGAAGTAGCGCAGGTTGACGATGTAGTGGAAGAGCCGCCGGATCCTGCGGGCAAAACAAGCACAGGGGAGGTTTGGCACAGTGGGATGAGAGGCTGGCACGAGGACAGGGTCCCTCAGGAGCATGACCTTTGGGATTTCTACTACAGTAAGGGTAATAAAATAAAAACCCATGAGCAATGGGTTTAAATTCTACTTTGCAACAAGTCTGCGGGGTGAGATTTAAAGTAAGATTTAAACATCCCTGCAGCGCTCTCTGCAAGGCAATGACCATTTATCTCTGTATTTATATATTTATCTCTCTCCCCATCTGTCAAAAGGGAGCTTCCAAGCCTTCAGACTCGATTCTCCACATTCCTCAGGAACACCACCTTTAGGATTCCTGTTACAGCAACGGTAATACAATAAAAAACACGAGCAATGGGTTTAAATTCCAGTTTGCAACAGAGCTGTGGTGAGATTTCAAGTCAGATGTAAACATCCCTGCACCGCTCTCTGCAAAGCAATGACATCTATTTATCTCTCTGTTTATCTCCCTATTTATCTCCCTATCTATCTCCCTATCTATTTATCTCTGTATTTATCTCCCTATCTGTTTATCTATTTATCTCCCTGTTTCTCTCTCTCTCCCCATCTGTCAAAAGGCCATTGAGAGCTTTCAAGCCTTCAGACTTGATTCTACAAATTATGTTTCTCTCCTCCCCCACCCTTCTCCCTCTGAACCCCCAGGTTAACGTCCTGCCAGTTCAAAACAAGGTTTGAAATCCTTTTAATATCAACTAATCCCTTTAAAATTGAGACACAGGCACTTGGAGACTCAGCTGAAACTGCCTTTGTAGCTGAGTATTATTCCTTCCAATCTCTCCCTTGCCAAGTATCTCTGCCTTCACTTTAAGATACCCTTTCTAAGCTGCATAAATACTTTACAGTAATATATTTGATTACTTTACTCTAATCTTTTTATTCACAAATGGTGCCCAAGAAAAGTGACAAATGCTTCAATCTCTGAGCAATCCGAAACTATTCACAAATTTCAGCTAATGGCTCTATCTGACCACAGTTCACAAATCCTTAACTGCACACAGAGCTCTACATCTGCACCATATTTGTCAGCTGAATAAAGGACTTGGGTTCTGCCTGGGAATCAAATCATATCTTTAACTCCCCAACAACTTTATCTGAGAACGTCTTTCAGTTGCTACATCCCATTTTCTCTAAGCAAATATCTGAAGAGTCAGAATTAAGGTCTGTTTTTTTCACATCTACTTACACATTCCTTGTCTTTGGATTGCTAATGGATTCAGAATGAAAAAGAGCTACAAATACCAGGGAAACAGATTTGATAGAAAATAACGTGAAGAAAAGTGCTTTTGTGGATCCCTGAACTCTGGTTATCAACCCAGCAGAGGAAGATTATCATCTACATGTAGATTATCATCTACACGAATCCACAGGAGGGAAAGGCACCATTTTCAATAACATTTGTAGCCGTAATTCTTGCATCAAACCCAATCCATCAAAGAAATAACAAGGCCCTATTTTTAGATCTTCATCATTCACGACCAGCAGCGGGGTGTGGGAGCGTTTGTAAACTGCCAGCGGTGCTTGAGGAATCACTTTGCATCCACGGCTGCTCGGAGAGGCTGGTGCCTCTTGGAAAGTCATGCAGTTTATTTATGCTTCCCTGAACTGTTTTGCCCCCTGGCAGCACCCAGGCCATGCAGCCCCAGCAGGGCTTGGATGGGAGATGTCAGTGTTAGAGTGAAGCCTCAGCCCCCCCGGAAAGCAGAAGGACCTCTCTGGAGAACTTAACACCAGCCAGAACACCTCAGGGCATCCAGCTGGGGCTGCATCTTGCCCGGGGCAGGAATAACAAGTTGCTGACATTCCTAGAGTTTGGTCTTTGTCTTGTGATTCCCCCTTGGCCCTGTGTTATGACACATTTTCTCTCCCGGTGAACTCGGGTTCTTTCAGTGGTCTTTTAGTGCAGCTTTCGGGGGAGAAAACTGCAGGGCAGCTGAAACAACACGGCACATCCTGGACTGGGGGGCTCAGGAGGTCAAAACTGTAGGGTGAGGTGAGAGGAAATCGGCAGATATATGACACAAAAAATTCTTGCTGCTTCTCTGTCTGCCCAGCCCACACCTCAGACCCTTCTGGGCTGGGGACCATCTCACTTCCCACTCAGCAGCGCTGCCTTAGCAGACATTTTGCAGCTGAACTCATTTTTGGTGGTCACTCCACAACAAAAAGGCTTGAGCTACCAAATATTAGGGAAATACTATGTCCTTATCCAGCCAGACAAGCTTCATAATCCTAATTTGGCTCCCCAGGGCAGTGGGCACAGCCCCAAGGCTGCCAGAGCTCCAGGAGGGTTTGGACAACACTCTGAGGGCCAGGGTGGGATTGTTGGGGTGTCTGTGCAGGGGCAGGCGTTGGATTGATGATCCTGGTGGGTCCCTCCAGCTCAGGATATTGTGTGATTCTATGATTCTGTGATTATGTGATTCTGTGATTTCATTCAGCCTGCCCAGTGTCCAGGGGGGCCAGACTGTGGCTTCCACCACAGATGCTTCTCTGACGTCACATCTGAGCTCGTTTTGTCCCACTGACGGCACAGACAGCCAGGCTGGCACCGTCCTGAGGAGCAGCAGGTGCAGGAGAACTCATTCTTCTCTCAAATCAAGCTGCCAAAAAAAGGCCTGAGTTCTCCTTTGGTGTCTGAGCATAAACCTCAGGGAGAAACTCCAGGCTCTACACTGAGTCTACCTGAGCCGGAGGGCAACAACCACCTCTGCTCCCCGGAGATCTCCGGCTTGGCAGAAGCTTCAAACGCCCTAAAAATGACTCACAGCCCTTCATGCTACGATTATTACAACCCCTGCTGCTCCCCCCTGGTCCTGCAGCCCCCCCAGAGTGACACAGGCAGTGTTTACAGGCCCTGAGCACGAAGCTCCCCACGAGGCAGAGCCGCCCGGAGCGGAAGGAATGCTGGAATCCCAACAGATCCCACCAGCTGCACCCTCAGCCTGGGCAGAGGAAAAACAGGCATGTTCTCCCACAAGTTCAGAGTTTGCACTGATGTGAAGGTACCAGGATGGAAAGAACAGGAATTCCAGCTGAGGAACCTGCAAGAATTTGCTGTCAAAACCAACCTCCCCAACACGCTACTCCTGATACCTTTTCCCAGCGATAGCCCAAAACTCACCCTTTAGTGATTTATGTGAACAAACTGCCCACCTGAGGGTCAGCAGGGTGGTTTGGATCTGCCTAAAGCATCCTCTTTTCCCAGTTTATTAATATTTATTTTTTATATTTATTTTTTATATTTATTTTTATTTCTGTTTGTTTTCCCCTGGCAGTTTATTCCCCGTGAAAGCCCAGCTGAACGGCAACATCCAGCCCACATATTTGATATTATTTAGTATCCAAATGTGTTTGACTGGCAGAGATGGAGATAAAAGTGATGTGATTGCTCTGAATAACCAGTTCCTGTCAGCCAAAAGCAGAGTTGGAAGGACTTACGGGTTTGTGGGGCTCAGGATGAACATGGAGCTGTAAGGCAGGATTGGTTTAGGCCCATTTTTCGTCAGGTCATCGACGTCTTTCTTCTCCTCCGTTTTGCTTTCAAACTCCACGTTGTTCACTGAGATGGGAATTTGAGGGGAGAGAAAGGAGAGAGTTAAAACTGCATCCCCAGTGTCCCCACAGGAGGCTCCTGCAACAGCTGGATATGCAAACAGCACAGCTGGGAGAGCAAACAGCCTTTGGATATGTTGATTAAACGTGATGAACAATCATTTGATTATTATCCCTGCTACTTACACACAGTTCTGCCCCACAACTGCTGTGCTGATGAGCAGTGGATCACAAGCAGGCAGGAAATGAAGCTGCTCAGTGCAGACACACAAAGAAACCAGGCACTTATTTATCCAAGAGCTGCCAAAGTGGGGATGGAAAACCCTTTTCAAACAGCACAGATTATTAGGGAGAGAGGATCAGCGAGGCATCCTTGGGAAGAGAACAAAAGGCAGGATGGCTGAGCAGCCTCCTAATCCTGTGTCTTCTGCCCTAGATCAGGAGCAAGGTTGGCTTTGGAGGGGGCAGAAGTGCAAATTCATAGATGAGATTTAATAATTTTGGGGCTAAAACTGCTGAACTTCCCAGCATTAGGAAAAGAGACCTGGAAGGGGCTCCTGCAGCCCCTGATCTGTGCCTGCCTCGTGCAGCTCAGTTTTGTCAGAGCTATGTAAAGGTGTCGAGCTCCACCTCCCTTCAGGCTTTTAACTTCTCCAAGATTGTTCCAAACCTCGCTCCCAGAGGTTGAAAACTTTTCAATTTTCATCCTAAGTTGACTTGCAGTGGGTTTGTAGGATAATTTACTGGAGATCATTTCCAATATATGAACTGAAACATGTTTTATTCTGCAAATACTCTTCTTAGGCAGATACTGAGACTCATCCATTAACTGCCAGAACCTGGAGTCCACAACCTCAACTCCCTTAGAATGTGCCAAGTGCAGGGCTTTTATCACTTTTTATTTTATTCTGCAAGGAAATGACAGTTCCTTGTGTGTGAGTGACATGTTCAATAAACTCCTTATTGTATCTCCAGCCAGATAGTGAGGAAATGGGCAGGACAGATAAACTGTGATTGGCAGGAAGTCAGCATTGCAATATAGTAAAATTATCATTTAAGAGGGAAAAAAAGAAGAAAGAAGAAGGGGAAAAAAAAAAAAGACAAGTCTTGTGGTTGACAACACAGGGAAAAAGCTCACAGAGACCCTGCTTTTGGCTGTGCCTCTTGGAAAGCGCAGTCCTGACAGCCTGAAGGAGTTCAGGACCTCTTGGAGTTCACACTGCAATTTTCCTTGGCGTCCCTACTCTCAGGAGTTCTCCAGGTTGTTCCTGCTCTGCCAGGGATCAGCCCCAAGCTGGTGGCTGGGGGGCTTCAAGGCACATCATGGGCACAACAGTCTTGGGACCATCTGGAAAACTAAATCTGCACTTACAGACCCAAGGCAAAGAGCTGGGGAGCAGGACAGGCTCAGTCAGAGGGGATCTGCTCAAACTGAGGTGCAGAGGGCTGCAGAAAGCTCAGGACTGGCCCAGCCTGCAGGAACCCGGAGCAGTGGGACCACCAAGGGTGCTGTGGTGGCTGTGAGGCCACGAGGACCTGCTGCTCCACAGTGAGCGAGCCAAGAGGTGGGAATCCATCCTGAGGGCCTGAATGCAACACCACCACCTCCCCTGGCCTTTGCTGAGGGTTCTGTGGCTGCTCAGCCCCCAGGATGCCAGAGGAACCACAGCCCATCCCCGCTGGAGTAGGAGTTTGCAGCACAGCAGCAGAGGAAGGGGATAAAGCAGAAGAGCTGCTCCTGTGCTCACCTCAGGCTGAGGCTGCTTTGCTGCACCAGCTGCTGATTTTCCTGCCCAGCCCTCAGTTACTACCTTTTGCTGGTTTTCCTGCTCCTTCATCTTTTTCTTTTTCAGAACCAGGATGTGCTCTGGGGGAGCCATCTCCAGGGAACCTCACGGGGTGTTTTCCAGAGCCACCAGATGATCCAGGAACCCATTTTTGGGTACCTGCAGGCTGCCTGAATCGTAGATCCTCTATCAACAGGTTCTCCTGTCTGCCTTTTGTGAGGATGCTGGTGGCCAGGAGAGCCACCAGGTGACCCAGGAACCCTCCTTGAGTTCCTGCAGGCTGCCTGAATTGTAAAGCCCGTATCAACAGGTTCTCCTGTCTGCCTCTGTGAGGATGCTGGTGGCCAGGAGAGCCACCAGGTGACCCAGGAACCCTCCTTGAGTTCTGCAGGCTGCCTTGAATCATAGATCCTGTATCAACAGGTTCTCCTGTCTACATCTGTGAGGATGCTGGTGGCCAGGAGAGCCAGCAGCTGACCCAGGAACCCTCCTTGAGTTCTGCAGGCTGCCTTGAATCATAGATCCTGTATCAACAGGTTCTCCTGTCTGCCTTCTGTGAGGATGCTGGTGGCCAGGAGAGCCCCCACCTGACCCAGCGTGTGCTGCCCCCTCCTCGACAAGTTGGCTCTTTCCTGGCAATTCCCTGGCAGAAGAAGCCTGGAGAGCAAGGCACTCACTTGGTATGACAGTGGTCTCCCCCGGGGGGGCCGTGATGGTGACGGGGATGTTCACAGTGGTGGTTTTGTCCAGGGGGGGTTGGATCATCCTCGTCACGTTCTTCTGGTTGTCGGCGTCCTCGGGCTGCTCGGGCACCTTCTGCAGGTACGTGCTGGGCAGGGTGTGCACGGGGACACTCACACTGCCACTGGCCTCCAGCTCAACCTGGTTCTCCCTGAGGCAGAGGAGCAGGGTTTGGTAAATGTGGTAAAGAAGGATTCAGAGAGCACGTGTATGTGACCCTGCACCTCTGTGACACCTCTGGGTTGGGGTTAGGGTTGGGGTTAGGGTTTAACCTCTGAAACCTCTGGGTTGGATTTAGGGTTGGGGTTAGGTTTTCATCTCTCTGAAAACTGTGAGTTGAGGTTAGGGTTGGGGTTAGGGTTGGGGTCAGGGTTTCACCTCTGAAACCTCTGGGTTGGATTTAGGGTTGGGGTTAGGGTTTCATCTCTCTGAAAACTGTGAGTTGAGGTTAGGGTTGGGGTTATGTTGGGGTTAGGGTTGGGTTTAGGGTTGGGGTTAGGGTTTCACCTCTGAAACCTCTGGGTTAGGGTTAGAGTTAGGATTGGGGTTAGAGTTTCACCTCTGAAACCTCTGGGTTAGGGTTAGGGTTGGGGTTAGGGTTGGGGTTGGAGTTTCACCTCTGTGAAACCTCTGGCTTGGGGTTAGGGTTGGGGTTAGGGTTGGGATTAGGGATGGGTTTAGGGTTTCTCCTCTGTGAAACCTCTGGGTTAGGGTTGGGGTTAGGGTTGGGGTTAGGGTTTCATCTCTGAAATCTCTGTGTTAGGGTTAGAGTTGGGGTTTCACCTTTGGGTTTCACAGACTCCTCTCTTCATGGAAACCCTTTGCAGAAAAGCCACAGCCTGCAGGACACAACTCACTGATAGCACAGGACGGGCCCTTTCCCTCTGAGACCTCCTGGGCCAACATCCAAGCACAACATTAAGCTGGACTGTGCCTCTGAGTGTCCCTTTATTCTGTTTAATGAGCCCCATAACTGAGGTTCACAAGGCCCACGTGGCCCTGGCATGGAGCAGTGACATTAACTCCCCACATCAGCTGGCTGCTGAATGAGGGCTGACATTCTGCTTCCTAATGCTCTCCTGAGGCCTTATTTAAACGTGGTGATTCTCCCTGGCACTCCTGAACTGCTCTGTAACGTTGCTGTCAGCAGCTAAAGAGCTCCTGCTTTCCTCTGCAGCAGCAGCTCCACTCCAGTGAGCTGGAAAGGGAGCCTGTGCACACGAGCAAACTAAACAGCACGCAAAGTGTTTTGAAATTCATCGGAAAGCAAGATAATATAGACAGGAAAATTATTATCTCAGTGCCACTCACAGCTCTCCACGGTGACATGAACTCTATTCTAAAGAATCCCAGTGCAATTTCTTTTCCATTGGACTAATAAAGCTGAAAAGGCAATCTATCCTTCTTTATTAACTACTCCAAATGCTCCACCAGTGCTATTTTTCTCACTTGACTTACATAAGAATTAAACCAAATGGGAGACATGGTTGTTCTCGATGGAAGGAGCCACGTGCTGGAACAACTGGTGGTGCAGCTGACAGGGCTCAGCATTAAAAAAAGGGAATTTTAAAAAACGTCCCTCAGAAAGTTCTTTCAGAGGCTGTAAAATTCTCTGCTCTGTGTTATGTCCTAGAGGGTCTGTGGGTATTTGCATCAAGGATGTTTCCTTCCTTAAAACCTGGTTCCTATGGACAGAGATCAGCTTTGGGAGCAAAACAGGACTGCAGGTTATGGTGGAGGGTGGGGTGAGCACGAGGACCACAGGGAATGCCATGGGGAGGGGAATAAGGGATTTCCTGAAACACATCTGGGGTTTTGTGGCCCCTGAGCCATCCAAGGGGTGAGTCTGTCCTGTCCAACCTGGCCTTAAACACTTCCAGGAATGGAGCAGCCACATCTTCTCTGCCCAACCTGGGCCAGGGCCTCACCACTCTCGCTCTGAAAAAATACCTTCCCAATATTCCCATCTATCCCTGCCCTCTGGCAATGGGAAGCCATTCCCTGTGTCCTGTCCCTCCATCCCTTGTCCCCAGTCCCTCTCCAGCTCTCCTGGAGCCCCTTCAGGCACTGGAAGGGGCTCTCAGGTCTCCCTGGAGCCTTCTCTTCTCCAGGTGAACCCCCCCAGCTCTCCCAGCCTGGCTTCAGAGGGGCTCCAGCCCTCAGAGCATCTTTGTGGCCTCCTCTGGACTCGCTCCAGCAGGTCCATGCCCTTCCTATGCTGGAGGCCCCAGAGCCGGACACGGGGCTCCAGGTGGGATCAGAGTAGTTCCCAAGGCGTGTATCCAAACGAAATCCACTTACTTGGGCTGGTGGTTCCGGTGAACCCCCCCAGCTCTCCCAGCCTGGCTCCAGAGGGGCTCCAGCCCTCGGAGCATCTTTGTGGCCTCCTCTGGACTCACTCCAGCAGGTCCATGCCCTTCCTATGCTGGAGGCCCCAGAGCTGGACACGGGGCTCCAGGTGGGATCAGAGTAGTTCCCAAGGCGTGTATCCAAACGAAATCCACTTACTTGGGCTGGTGGTTCCGGTGCTCCTTCTCTCCAGCCTCCGCCTCCTTCTCCCCGTTCTCCTTCTCCACCGACTCGTACGTGGACAGGGCCCTGTTCCTGAGCCTGTGCCGCCTGTGGGGCTCCTCTCCGTTCTCCCCCTTGGGCTCCCCATCCCTGTTGCCGGAGCGGGACCCTCCGCGGTGCCGGGAGCGCCGCTCGCCGCGGGCGCCGTTGGCGGTGCCGTTGCCGTCCTTGCCCTGGCGCTCGGTGGAGTGCCGGTGCGTGCGGTGCCTGCGGTGCTCCTTCTCCCCCGACTCCTCCACCGAGCCCCGCCGGTGGTGCCTCTTCCCCCCTTCCTGCCCCCTGTTCCGCTCGCTCTTCCCTTCCTTGCTCCCGCCTTCCACCTCCTTGCTGCGGCTCCGGTGCTGCCGGTGCCGCTCCTCCTTGTTGGCGGCCGCGGTCTCCGCGCTCTCCTCCTTGGGCGCGTCGCCCTTCTCCTGCTCCGCCTGTTTCTCCTTATCCCGGTGCCGGTGGTGCTTCCGCGGAGCTTCTGCCCCGTCGGCAGAGCTGCCCTTGGGGTGCTCCTGCACCTCCTGCACGTCGCCGGGGCTCAGCTTGTTGATGTTGTTCCTGCCTTCGCTCCGGGGCTCCACCACCAGCGGCCGGTCCAGGTGGGTCTTCATGTCCGGCCTGATGTGCAGGGTGGTGGCGTAACGGACCCGCTCCTCGGGGTCCAGCTCGTTGTACAGGGCCTCGCAGCTGGCTCGGAAGTTGTGCATCCGGATCTGGCTGGTCCTCTGCTCCCAGACCGACTTGGATTTGGAGGAGTTCTGCTGCTTGCTGAGGGGAAGGGAGGAAGGTGAAAAGTGAGTGTCTGAATTTACGCCGGTTCCCTGAACAACAACCCAAAAAATTTAAAAAAAAAAAAAAAAAAAGAGAATTTTCAGCTGAGATGGGGAATTAGAGGGTCGAACCAAAGGAATTGTAGGAATGGAGAGAGAATGGCTGGCGGAGAACAGGAGCAGGGAAAGCCAGCGGGATCACCGGTGTTAGTTTGCCCACACACACGTAAGGCACCCTGGGACCAGCCCTCTGGAAAGGAGTTCTCCTCATTTCTAACACGTGGAAGCATCAGGTAGAGTCTGAAGGATTAAAGTGTCAGCACACAAATCACACACCCCAGCCAGAGCTTTGAAACAGCCCACAAAGCTTCCCACAAGTAACAGCACCTTTTCCCCACCTGGAAACATTGGGATGAGCAAATTAGTGCTGAGCAAGAGCGGTTAGATTGGCAGCAGGAGTGAGGGGAAGTCATTGAAGTCCAACCCCTGGCCCTGCACAGACACCCCAACAATCCCACCCTGGCCCTCAGAGCATTGTCCAAACCCTCCTGGAGCTCTGGCAGCCTTGGGGCTGTGCCCACTGCCCTGGGGAGCCTGGTCAGTGCCCAACCAGTCTCTGGGGGAAGAACCTTTTGCTGAGATCCAACCTGACCCTGCCCTGGCACAGCTCCAGCCATTCCCTGGGTGCTGTCCCTGCTCACACAGAGCAGAGATCGGAGCTGCCCCTCAGGAGGAGCTGCAGACCCCGGTGAGGTCTGACCTCTGTCTCCTCTTCTCCAGCTGAACCTCCAAGTCACCTCTTCTGCTCCTCTTATGGCCCCTCCAGACCCTTCACCATCTCTGTAGGCCAAGATGGAGATGAGATGGGAACACCTTTATCCCTGGAGACACCTGTCCTCTCTCTCTCTCTGTTATGGTGATACCTCCACTGGCATTGGAAAGTGCCCTTCTGCTGAGTGGAGCCTTCAGTTTATCTGCAACCACCCAGTCCTCATGTTCCATCCTGTGCTCCATTCCCATGGGCCCACGCAGGGGAGGGACACAAAGCCCTCAGTCTCCCTGCAGTGACTCCCCAAAGTAGAACCCACAGGAAATCCTCAGGCAGCTCCCAAGGACACAGCCTGTCCATCAGTGCCCATCCAAGCCAAGTCATAAAGAAAATCTCCTAAATCAGACTGGGTGGAAGGAGGAAGGTTGAAGATGCCGGGCAGAGGAGACACTCAGACCCTGCCAGCTCTGACACAAGATGTGTCACTCCAGGAGGGGTTTTTTAGTCGTGTTTCAGCTACACCCAGAACATAAATCAGCCTCGAAATTACCTCTGAGGTGCTAAAGCTTCCACTGTACATCACTCCTGGCTGACAGAACCTGCAGAAAGCACATATTAACAAAGCCTATTTGGCTGAAATCCCTTCCTGAAAACAGCCACTGTCATTACAGGCTGGAATTTCCCAGCATCCAGAAATGAGCTGCATCCTTAACGTTGACACGAGGAGCGGAGGCGATTGCCAAAAAGGCTCCAACACCCCACCACCCGCTGGCTTTGGCTGCTAACAAGTCAAGAGCAGGAGGTTCAGAAGCAATGGCTGCATCCTTTCCTTGTTCTACAGGGAAAGACACTTAAAAAAAACCAACCAAAACCAAGTAGGAAATATATGAAGCGCAGCAAAAAAACCAATCAGGACAAAGCAGAGCTGCCAGCGAGCTCGTTATCGTGTCCAACCCGAGGAGGAACATCGGTGCCAGGGCACATCAGACCTGCTGGAGGGAAGGGGAGCGAAGCATCCGAGCAGGCAGGTCCCTCTGGGGACAGCCTTTGGGGCTCTCGGAGCCAAACCAGCAGCAACTGGAGGGAAAGTGTCCATCTGCCCGCCCGGCTGTGTCTCGGTTGTCTCCGAGTTCCCACAGCAACGATTCCCGGGGGCAGCTCCCCCTCTCCCGGTGCTCTGCTCCGCTCGGCCACACGGAGCTCCGGGGCTCATTTATGGCACAGCAGGAATGTCGCCTTTAAAACTAAGCACGGGCGTTTCGTTCCGTGTTCCTTGTGAGGATGCGGGGCAGACACACCAAAATAAGGGATGGAAAACCAGCAAACAGGGCAATAATTATTTCCTCTGCTCCCCCCATCACTTAATTCTGCGTGAGCAGGGACAGGCACAACCCATCTACAGCACAAACGAGGCATGACTTGTCCAAACTGGTAAAAAAATGAGCCTTTGTGATAACAAATATTTATTCCACAAGGAAAAAAAAACTATTTATGGAGCCAACTCCTTATGTGAAACCTTGTTTTCTTCTTAAAATCCTTCTGATCCATTAAAAGAATTGCCCTGTAAATCACTTCTGACTTGCAGACACAGTACAAACATTGCTGTTAATTCTTTTGCTTTACAGTTCCTTCCCATCCATATTTTCTGTCTATAGAATATTCCTAATTCTTTTAAGGGTACTGGCATTGTATTCAGTTTTCAGATCCTCTAGGCTTGAACTGTTGTAGTAGATAATGCTGCTAATTCCAGGTTTTGTGGGATTAAGAAGCCAACAAACAACTCCTGCCCGTGGCTGGAAAGAAAACCACACAATTCATGTAGAATCAAATAAAATTCATATTAATGAATCAGTGACTCATGTTGGTATAAGGAAAAAAAGGCAGCCAGTCACTGTGTGGATGGTTCAGGAAAGGAAAGCCTATTTTTAGTCATATTCTAATCTTAGGGTACTCCTGAATGATTAAAGATTTTGTTACCATGACCTTTGCAACCATTGCTTCAGTTCATGGCAATCCTTAAAATTTTGCTTTAGTAAATAATGAATGAAAGCTGACTAGGAGGAACATAATAATTTGATGTTAAAAATACCTCCACATTAGACTGTGGGTACGAGAGAGTGTATTCTGAGTGCACATGAAAGGGAATTTCCTGTTAAAATACAGCTCCAACCAAAAAACCACGCGACGAAACCTTCCCACTAAAATCTCATTTTCTGTTCATAAACTTGGAGTTCATAAACTCTCCACATTTCCATTTTCCGCTTGGAAAACACCAGGAAACCTTTCGGTCTGGGGCAGGCAGCACAAAGCAGAGTGTTCTGTCTCTCTCGCGTTTGATAAACCGATTTTCTTTCAGGTGAACTCACCACTAGTGGTTAAATTTGCTTTGCCAGTGACCCCAGGAGTTGCTGCTTGGATGCTCCAGCACCTTTTCTTCCCCCTGAGCTCCCCCAGGAGATGCTCTGAGCTCTCCCACTGAGCTGCTGCCTCACACACACACCTCAGTCCTGCAGAAAACGCTGCCCAGTCCCTTCCAATTTTTATTCTCAGATTTAATTTTGGGTTTATATGAGAGAATTTTTGATATGGCAGTTTCTTGGAAAGAAAACATTTTCTTCCTTAATATTTCTCCCCATATTAGCTAAAAACTCTAAATTATTAATGTGGTCAAAGCCTAGACTGCCTGTAAATCACACCCTTACCTTCAGAAACTCGCTGCTGGAATTTGAGATGCCTTTCAGGCTGTCACAGATGCCAATTTTTTGATCAACAAAGTTCACTAAATGCCACGTTTTGATTTTTTTTTCCCCCAACGTTATCATTAGTCTGTTATTTCTACTCATTTTCCCTGTTCTTTTAGACAATTTGGAGAGCTGCAGACACAGGGGGTGCTGAGCCACAGGGAATTGGTCTCAGCAGGAGGAGGAAGCTGAGATGTCCGAGGGGGATAATGCTGAGCATCTCTGGGGGGCTTTGGGGAGCAGCTGAGCTCCTGTGGCCAATGTGGAGCCTGAAAGTTCCTAAAATCACAGACTGGGTTGGGTTGGGAGGGACCTTAAAATCATCCAGTCCCACCCCCTGCCATGGGCAGGGACACCTCCCACCAGCCCAGGTTGCTCCAAGCCCCATCCAGCCTGGCCTTGGACACTTCCAGGGATCCAGGGGCAGCCACAGCTTCTCTGGGCAACCTGTACCAGGGCCTTCCCACCCTCACAGCCAACAATTCCTTCCCAATATCCCATCTAACCCTGCCCTCTGGCAGTGGGAAGCCATTCCCTGTGTCCTGTCCCTCCATCCCTTGTCCCCAGTCCCTCTCCAGCTCTCCTGGAGCCCCTTCAGGCACTGGAAGGGGCTCTCAGGTCTCCCTGGAGCCTTCTTTTCTCCAGGTGAACCCCCCCAGCTCTCCCAGCCTGGCTTCAGAGGGGCTCCACCCCTTGGACCATCTTGGTGCCTCCCCTGGACTCTCTCCAGCAGCTCCACATCCTTCTTACATTGGAGGCCCCAGAGCTGGACACAGAACTCCAGGTGGGATCTGCCCCGAGCAGTTTCCAACGTATCAAACCAAAATGCAGGAGAGAACCAACACTTTGCTGCCACTCCCCTGAGGTGTCTGTGGCCCCAAATTCCCACAAGCATTAAAATAATAACACGATGCTGCTGCTGCTTTGGGGTTTGGCCACTGCCGAGCCCCTGGTTTTTGTGCAGCTCTGAAGGGATGCAAAGCTCAGCCCTGTTAAAGGAGCCAAAATTTCACTGCTTCCTGCTGGAGTTTTTCACAGCAGAATGATTTCACTCAGCCACAACTCACCACCCTCCACGCTGCTCCCCGTTGCTCTAATAATAAAAATTTCCTAATTGTTTTCAGTAAAAGTACATCCCATAAAAATCTGACTCGGATCCGAAGAAAATGCCAGAAAATATTTCTTCTGTCTCAAGTTATGTTGGTGTCCTCAGACACAAGATCCCTCTTCAGCCCTCGAGGTTTGTCTGGTATTTCAGTTATGATTTGTGATCACATAATTTCAGGCTCGGTAATAAATAACGGGGTGAGAGAGTTAAAAGCAAAATCAAAAAAAAATAAAAAAAAAGCAGAGTTAAAAGCCACATTGCTACGGCTTGATTTAACAGAAAACACACTGAGGTTAAATATGTGGAGCCATTAAGTTCTCCTAAACCCCAGGAAAATTATATTTACTTTAAATTATTGCTTTCCTCTCAAGTGATGAAGCCCCACTCTCCATTCTGGCCGTGACACTTCAATATCCCAGAGCAAAGTCCCCCCATAAACTCCAGGCTTTTGATAAAAACCAAGACAAAACACACCAGGGAACGGAGTCACAGCCCCTTTTTTTGGCACTAAGAGGATGTGGAAATAAAGCCCAGACAGTGAATATAAAGAAGCAAGAGATAAAGATCAAGAATAATTTGGGTTCTTGGCTGGCAAATGACAAATTCGTCCTGGGAGAGGATATTTAAGGGTTTTCATTTCCCTCTGTGTGAGGTCAGCCTGTCCACACTGGGGGTGGTGCAGCAGGGATGTGATGTGGTGGTTGGGGTGGGAAAGAAGGAACTGGGGTGGGAAAGGAAACTAAGTTTTATTCTGGAAAAAAAAATCGGCACTTTTGGAAAAAAAAATCATCCCCACCTTGTGAAACACTGGCTTTCCCTTTATTTACCATCCTAGAAATTGCCTTAAGAACATGGAATTTGTCCTGTCTGACACCTCAGGATCTTGTTAGAAATGAACAATCAACAACAGCAACACAAAGAAAACCTCAGGTGAGTGAATGCACCAGCTGGGATTTCATCACCCCTTGCAATGTAAGGATTCACATGAAAATTCAACACCCCACAACTCCTAAATTCCCCACTACTGGAAGAACCCAACCCAGTTATTCCCTTGGCTGTGTGTCATTGCCTATGTACATTTAAATTAGCTGCCAGTGTGTATTTTAGATAAATGCTGATCTACTTAAAGAAATAGAGCATATCTCTATTTAATGACCTCCTCTCAGTGAATGAAAAATGTATTTTGTACTTCTTGCCTTGCCTGTATCACAAATTTGTTGTAGCACGAAAGGCTGGAATTAGCACAAGAAAATGACTCACCTTGGTTTTAATTTATTGGTTTTTTTAAGAAACTAGCTCAGGGATTTTGTCTCTAATTTCTCTCCAATTTAGAACTATTATTTTTTTTTAAATAATCAAAGAAAGAACACAGAGAAAACCCAGCTCAAAAGGTTTTGGAATAAGCTTTGTTCTCTCAGAACAGATGAGCATGGCTTTGTAAATCCTGGTTCTTAGTGATATTAAAGGCACAGGGTATTTTATACTGTTCAAGCAAAGGAACAGGGAATTTTTTGCAAAGTTTTAAAAGCTCTTTTTGATTAGTAGATTACTGTCCCAGAAATGAGAGCACTTATATCTGTTCAGTGTAATTACAGCAAAGCACTCACAGTGGGTAGTGTGAGTATAAAAGAACACTGAACCTGTCCCAGGATTCACTCAGGGAATGGGAATCCACAGCACCTGCCTGGCTCTGGGAGGGGTTTCTCCAGTTTATCTATTTGGATTTAAAATCAACCCCCCACATTTCTAACCAGGTAAGTAAATAAACCGACACTGAGTAAATAAACCTTCAGGTGCCTCCACACCTCAGGGGGGCTCTGCTGATGCCCTGTGATCTCTGGGACTTCATGCATTGCACACTCTGGTGAGGTTCAGAGATTTATTTCATCCAAACGAGGGGGTTTGCTGGGGAAATGCTCTTTATTTCTCATTTAGGAAAAAAAAAGCGCCCGCTCAGCTCCTCCATCAAAAGCAGCCCTGGTTTGCATAGGAAATTACAAATTATGGCCCAGACGGTGCAGAGAGATGGGAGAGAGGATGAGAAACCTCAGTGACAGCTCTTTGCAGTACAAATTGATTCTGTTCAGAGAACAGATGTGAGTCATATCAGCAAAAGCAGCCTCTATTATCCTGTCTCTGTGGCTGGTGGGGAGTTGGGAACAGACCCAAACCTCCTTCCAAGGGGGTTTCAGTACCTGCAGTTCGATTTTGTCACTTTATAAAAGGCAGCTCTGCCTCTGGAAGTTTGGAAAAGGGGCCAAATTCTTTATTCTTTATTCTTAATTGGGAAAATATTGACTCAGACCGGTTTGGTGCCACTTCTACTGGAGCAAATCCAAGTGCTGGGGAGAGGGCAAGTCGGCAGCACCTCCCCTCCCTCACCACCTTCAAACATTCCCCCTCCTCCTGCCGGGGTGGGAGACAAGGGGAAATTTCCTCCCCCTTTCCAAAGGGAAGGACACCTCTCTCTGCACCTTCCTGCCTGTCCAGACTCCCAGCAGCCAGGAAATGCATTGGAAGAAATGAATCCAAACCTGCCTTGGTCTGGTTTAATCCCCTCATTTTTCACTGTCCCAGCCCTGTGAGACATCAAACCTCAGCACAGACATATCAAACCTACTTTTGTTAGTCACAAAAGCTCAGTCCTGGTCACACAGAAGCCAAAGTCACAAGTATTTTTAATACAAACACCCCCAAGACACCCAGGAAAAAAGGAAGATGTCAGGAAGCTGGTGGAAAAGCTCCTTTGCTTCACCGTACCTTGGTCCCCGCTGGGGAACAAACCCCACACGGGTTGGAATTGCACTTACTTGTCTCTCCAAAAGCATTAAAGAAGAAAGACAACATCCCAGGGTAAGAGATAACCCAAAGCAGAGACACTCCCACGGGTCGATGAGAAGCTCACGAGGAGTTTTGTTGGATTAGCCAGAGGAGAATAATGATATTTTCTACAAACCTGCAGCGGCGTCAAAGCGCCCCCTGATTGACAGCACAGCCAGCAAGATTGGTTTGTTAGGAAGCACGGGGAGTGAATGGAAGGTTTCCACTGTGTTTGCTCGACCTCAGGTCCATGGGAGTTGCCAAGTGCCTCATTTTTATAAAATCTGTAGCTTTAATTTCCAGCTCGAGAAGGTCAGAGTTCACAACCAGCTTCCCAAGGATGTCTATACAGAGTTTTCCAATTTAGTTTCACTTGGACCCCATTTCCAGGAGTTTCTTTGGAAGTCCTCCTCCAGCTTGCACTCGAAGAGTGCACTTTGGTTCTCCTACTGAACCTGAGGTGCAAACACTGGTGGAACATCAAAGCCATCAGCCCAGTGCACAATAAACACAGAGAACAGGAGTACAAGTGAGAACGAGACAAACCATCAAATGAGGGCAGATGGGAAAGGAGGGGGAAAGAGTTAAGGGAGGAATGATGGAAATAATTAAGGAGATGAGAGAAAAATGAAGGAAAGAAGGGGAGGAAGAGTCACAGTCAATGGATGAAACACTACAGAGTTGCTCATGATCAAATCACAAGCATCATATGACAATGTTCCAGTCCTTCCACTGGATGTTGGTCTGGAGGTTTTCCACAATGATGGGAATGATTCTTGGAAAAAAACAAGGAGGGACCAAAGGCACCAGGAGAAAGGGAAAGAGGGTGGTTTATAAATACAGAGGCAGAAATGATAAATAATCCATTTACTGAATATTGTAACAGAGAGCAACTCACGGTGAATTTACGCTGGAGACTGACGAGCTGCGAGATACAGTACCTCGAGTTTGCTTTACAAAACTGCACATGCAAAAACAAAACAAACAAAGAAAACAAAAAGTGAGAAAAGAAAAAAGGGGGGAGGAAAAAAAAAACCAAAACCAACCGACAACAGAAAAGAAGAAGAAGAAGAAGAAGAAGAAGAAGAAGAAGAAGAAGAAGAGCAGAGAAACCGTAACAGACATCGGGGAGGAGGCTCGTACAGGCCGTGTCCTACGGGATGCAGACGTGCACCTCGGGAGGAGACCAGGCAAGCTTCACAAAGTGTGGGAGTCACAGACACACCACCCTCTGGGCGAGGGGAGACAACCAAAGAACCAAAAAACGGAACCAAAGGGGGGGGGTAAGGAAATTAAAAGGTGAACCGAAAGCCACAGGATGATGTGGGGCCGTCGTGCCTCCGTGTGCCATACTCACGGCGTGGGGTCCTCCGGGGAGTCATCGCCGGGGCCTCGGGGAGAGGCCTTTGTAGGACCAGGTGGGGATTGCTTTTACAGCTGTGCTGCAAAGAGTTCTTTCCGAGTGGGAGCAGGATGCTAATTCCTGCTCCAGCCCTGGGGCACCAGGAGGAAGCTTAACACGGAGAACATGGGCTGGGGAGAGGACCCGGGGCCACATCCCAGCTCCAAAATCCACCTGAGCTCCAGCAGGAAGCTTCTCCTCAGTCCCTGCCTCAGATGTGCTCTTCAGAGGCACCTACCTCTCTCCTGTGACGGGGACAGGGATGTGCCTGAGCTCAGACTGGCCAAATATGGGTCACTGGGTCTAAAAACCTCAGCTCTGCTGCGGCTTCATCAGGGCAGGCCCAGAACGGAAAGGAGCTTCTTTCAGTTCACAAGTTATTTTGTGGATTCTCCTCCATCCAGTGTTTATCTAAACACCATAAATGTGGGGGGTTCTAAACATGGAAATCACTGAATTACACAGAAAAAGAGTTTATTCTGCCTCTGGCAGGGAATCTACAGAAAAGCAGGATAGGTCTTGAATGAGGCATTAATTTTTTCCTAGTTATAAAAGACAATTTTATAACTACAATCTACATCATTCAGAGAACTGTCCCCAAGACTGAAAATGAAATCCCTTCACCTCCTGGGTTTGCCTTTCCAGCTGCAGCATTTTTTCTCCTGCTTCCATGAGAGTTTTAATCTGTTAACAATCAATACCAGCAAACCAGAAGGCCAATTAAAGTCTAATGTCCTTTGGATATCATATAAGCAGAGTTTTTAATACACATTTATTACAATTAATGGATTATTATAAACAGAAATGTTGGCCTGGGTAATATATATATAACACAAAATCCAGAAGTTCAGAAACCTGGCATGAATATAAGAGAAATTATGAAAGGCATCATAAAAGTTTGGCTTGAAGCAAACAATCTGCTGAAACAGGTAAAATATGCTACCTAAGCTTCAGTATTTCTCCATTTTTATTGTGCCAAATGAAATAGGAGTCAAAGTGGGGTTGGCATGCCCTGCTTGCTTGCCAAGAAAATGATTGTTTCCAGGTTGCTCAAGCTGGGGATCTTTTTACTCCTTGGCCGGAGGCTGAACCCCCAGGATGTCAGGGGAACCCTGCAGAGAACAAGCACTAATGGCCTCGAGCACAACTAAGAAATTTCTCTGGCAAAACAGGTGGAAAAACTCAGGATGGAGGAGAATGTGCTGGGCTGCCCTCATTTGCCTGAAGTCAGCACCAAGTCTGGTGCAACACCTGTGGCAATTTTGGGTTGAATTGCTGAGAGTGGATCTGCACATCCCTCAGCAGGAGGCTGGGATGATCTGGGGGGTTTATCTCAGCCTTGGTTGGGGCAGTGCAGGGTGGAGGCCACGCTCTCCTCCTGCCAAGTCTCCTTGTCACCCGGCCAGCCCCTGTTACACAAGCCCTGCAGCTCTCCAGGTTCACTCCTCTGCTGCCACTGCTGCTTTTTTGTAACCAGAAATTTGAGTGAATTTGTGCTGGGTGAAAAACCACAAAGCAAAGCCACCTCCTTCTCCAAAGCACAGTACTTGAGTTCCACTGGATGCTACTTACCATCCCCGAGGGACAGGGCACAGAGAGGGTCTCTGGGTGGAGCTCAGTCACTGGCACACCACCAGCAAGGACAAAAAAAGGTAAATCTAACAGGAGGAATCACAGGACCCCACACACCAACACACTCCAAGGGGGAAAAGGGAAGAAATCACGAGCCAGCAAGAGAGAAAGAACAACTCTTCTAGTCTACACATCCCCCAGCACAGCAGGGACACGGGCTGGGTGTTCACACACGCTCCTTGCTGGGTCCTTGTTGGGCACCCACAGCCCAACAGAGGTGTGGGAACAGACCACAGTGTTCCCAAGACAGGGGGGGAAATATGGAGCCTCTGAGATGGAAAATGTCCTGGAGGAACAGAGCAATTCCCCCTCCCTCCCCTCCGCCCCCAGACCGGTACAAAAGGGACGGGCAGCTCTGAGAAGTCACAGGGAAGGGTTGGGCCACCTCTCTTTGCTCTTGGAGCTTCTCTCCTGGCTTTTCTAACTTGCTGTGGGGCTGCAATTAAAGTGTCATCTGCTCTGAACAACTCTGTGAGGGACCAGCAGAAACCAGACAGAGCCTGGAGATGAAGAGCTCGTTGGAGGCTCGAAGGTTGTCCTGGGAAGCACAGGTAACTTGGAAAATGGCACTGGGTAATTCCACAGCATTTGGGTTGGGTGCCCACATCCATGAGGTCTCTCTCACTGTCCACCACATTTCCTCCACCACATCTGGGAAGTTCTCCTCCCATCCAAAACTCACCCCCTCCATACCTGTGATTGAATAATTTCCCTGGGTCTGGCTACAACTGTAACCTCTTTAATTCCACGTGGAATTAAAAAAAAACAAACCAAAGTCACAGAACGCAAAAGGTTTCACTCGGTGTGACTTCACACAACTACCTACAGGCTCCTACAAATTTAGGATTGCTAAAAAAAATTGCTATTTTAAGACTTTTCCCAAGAAAAGGTGAAGAGAGGCCACTGGAAAATCCAGTGGCTCTGGGTGCCAGGGAAGCCACAGCTCGTGTCCCTCTGGCTGGTCTGGCTGGGCCAGGGGTGCTCATCTCAGCCCCTTTTGTACGTGCCATTGGTGCATCTCTGGCTGGCCTAGAAAAGGTGGAGGAGGAACCCAAACACAGGGAATTAAAGCATCAGGTTGAGCAAAAACAGGGAATAAAAGATATGTTTGCACTGGGGGCTCTGCGAGCCTGATGGCTCTTCCTTCCACTTTCCAGCGGCACCACAAAGTTCTTTGCCTTCTAATCATCCCCTTTTCCCCCCTGCTCCATTCTGGCCACCCAGGAGCTGCACCAATGGTTTGCTCCAAAGACCCCTTGGTCTGTACAGTGGCTCAGTTCCAGAGGCTGAGTGGTCTCAATGTTGCAGGACACAGAGGGGCTTCAACACAACGCTGGGCAAACTGAACGACCCCAAAAACTCACCTCCAGAAACAACAAAGCAAGGAAAACGCTAAACAGAAAACAAACACAGACAAAAAAAAAATCACAAAAATAAGAATGGAACAATGGGCTCAAATTAAACACGTATTTTCAAGCAAACATTGCAACAATGACAAAAGCAACGTGTACCACCTGAAGGTTTTAAACCTGGAAAGCCACAAAATTAAAGGGGCCCTTCGGGGTAGAGTTCACCGGGTGAAGAGACAAACTGTGGTCAGGCAGATCCGTCACCCTGTGGTGGAGCAGGAGGCAAACCATAGGAATCCTGGAATGAAGGAGCTACAGACAAGTGCAGGATGTTGTAAGGGAGCCCTGTGAGGCAGATGTGAGACAGATGATGCCTCGACACCACTGCAGCGATGAGCATGTTATTAAAAGAGATCCCCAGGACATCCATCAGTCATGAAGCAATCCGTGGCTCACGCAGCAGTGTGAAGGTGAAGGTGCCTCTTCAGACCCTCCAAGCTGACACACTAAATAAGCAACCAGGTTTTCATGCTTAGGAAATGATGTTTTGCAGCCAATGCAAGAGAGTGAAGATTTTTTGGAGCTCAGCTGTGAAAGGAGGCTGGAATGGCAGAGGAGAGAAGAGGGCACAGCCTCAAGCTGTGCCAGGGCAGGTTTAGGTTGGCCATTGGGCAGAAGTTGTTTGCAGAGAGAGGGATCAGCCCTTGGAATGGGCTGCCCAGGGAGGGGGTGGAGTCCCCGTCCCTGGAGGGGTTTGAGCAGAGCCTGGATGTGGCATCAGTGCCATGGTCTGGGTGACAAGGTGGGGTTGGGTCACAGGTTGGACTCCATGATCTCAGAGCTCTTTTCCAACCCAGTTGATTCCAGGATTCTGTGTAATTGGTGCAGGGAAACTGCAGGCAAGGGAAAACCAGAAGTGGAAGAGCAGACAGAGAATCACAGGATATGGGGAGTCTGAAGGACCCACCGGGATCAGCAGGTCCAGCTCTTAAAATGGGATCAAACCCACAAGCTCAGTGTAATGATAGCACTGAGCTGATCTCAGGGTTACCACGGAGGGTAGAAAGGCCTGGAAGGAGCTTCTGGGGAGATCCACACCCTCAGTCCTTGATGCAGGACTGGCAAGGGAAAGGAATCAAAGAGCCAGCACAGCACCTCAGCACTGAACCAGCACAACAACCAGGAGGACTCTTCCCCAGGCTCAGCCCAGGGACAGCTTTGTCACCTCTGTGGGAGGTGGACAAGCACACCAGGGACATGAACATCGTGACTGAGGGAATGCAAGTCATGGTGCCCTCTGCTAACAAACACCACTTTGACTCATGCAGGTAGAGAAAATGCTGATTTTTTTTTTCAGAACATCCATCCATGCTACAGATGCCTGCCATGGATGAATTCGTTTTCATCTGAAAAGAAAATTAAATTGTAGAACTAAGAAATGATTCCTCAGGAGAAAATAAAAATACAGACTGATTGGGTGAAGCCACCTTGGCAGGAGGCCTTTGGGAGCTCAATCCCAGTCTTCCCAGTCCTTGTTCACCACTCACTTGTTTCTACAGGTGTTTGTTTCTCACTTCTTTGTGCCCAGGCTCTGCTTTTGTGGTGATATTTCCATACACCAAAAATCCCATTTTCAAGCAGTTTTTCCCTCTTGGCATGTCCAGCTCTGGATCTGATCCCACAAGACTTGCCATGGACACGGGATCTGCTCCATCTTCAGTTTAAGAGCATAAAAAGTGAAGTGATGGGCTAATTTGTGTCACCACTGGCCACAGATATCCAAGGGAAAGGTGCTTCAAACCTGAAAGCTCCCTTTGGAGTCCATGGTGGATGAATTTGTGTAAAACAAATTGCTTTGACATGGATTCATTAGATGTCTTACGGACCAAGAGCCAGCAGTCCATCCAGGCACTTCTTTCTGTCTCACAAAACTTCTCCCTTGCCTTTTCCTCTGCATCATCATCCATTTGAGCATCACCTTATTGAACTGAATGCCATTTTTTTTGTCCAAATTAAAGCCCTGTGAGATTTGAGAGAGGCCCTGGGAGCATCTCACTGGTCCTACAGCAGAGCCAAGAGGAAATCCCAGGATGGGGGGCAGGAGGTGTGGGAATGATTGACTTTCAACTGTGCTCACTGAATGCTCCCACAAATGTGGGGTCTGGGCCGATTCAACTTGAGGCAAAATAAGCAGAAATCCATATTTTTGCCTTCACTTTGAATTGCTGTCACAAAACTGGCCCTGTGCTACTGAAAACCAGGTGAAAAAATCACGGAATAAAGTGATTCTAAGCAATTTAAAAGTGTGGTGTGAGACCTTCACTCCATTGAAGTGGGTTGGTTTTTTCTGCTGATTTCTAAGAAATCTTCACATTGATTAAAGAAGAAGAAAAGATTCATCATCACCTCGCATTTTAAAAATAAGAGGACCAAGAAATTAATCAAAGAACAAGAGCAAAAAATTAATCAAAGAACAAGAGCAACTGCCCTCATTTGGCTTCTCTTCAAGACTGGACAGGAAAGCATTGTAAGGAACAGATTATATTTAAAACCAACAAACAGACACAGCATAAAGAGGAGCTGATTAAAGCAGAAATGGCAAATTAAAATGGCAAGAAGAATAAAATAGCCAAATTAATAATAATCTTTCCCTTCACATATAACAGACTGGCTCCATTTGGCCCATTGTCTTTGATGAAGTGGATTAAACTCCCAATAACGAGGGTCTCAAGAGCTTTGCACCGAAAGAACAAGGAGGGATCCGGGTGCATTCCAGAGATTTGGCAACAAAATCAAACAGGAAATTTCTATTTTAACTCCTGAGCTTCCCCAGCCCTTGGAGGTCTCCCCTATAAAAAGGGTCTGGAAAACATCAGCAGCTCTCAGTAAAAATATAAAAGTCAAATATCTTGGTGCTGGTTGCCCTGATGTTAAAATTCCAGAAGAGTTCCGTGAACTTCTCAGAAGAACATGTTTTTCAGTAAATCCTTGCGAGGTATCACAGAATAGAATCCCAGGATGGTTTGGGTTGGAAGGGAACTTAAAGCTCATCCAGTTCCACCCCCTGTCACAGGCAGGGACACCTTCCACTATCCCAAGTTGCTCCAAGCCCTGTCCAACCTGGCCTTGGACACTTCCAGGTTGGCACGTCCCAAGCACAGGCAGAACTGACCTCACCAACACCTGGACAAGTATTCCCACCTACAGAGCATCATATCTTCACTTCAGTTAGATCAGGATCCGTGGAAAGGTGGTGCCCAAAGCAATGTTTTCCAGGGATTCTGGAGTCACAGAACTCGTGCAGATGTTCTCATCCATAAAATGCAAATTGTTGTTTCCGTCTACAAACCAGTGGCTGTTCACATACGTGGTTTTATTCACCTCAGAAATCTTTCAAATGGCAAAGAAAAGAGCTTTCAAGCATATTTTTCAAGCTGATATTGAAGAGGAGGCTTTTACATTTAAATTCTCAGAGACTGTGAAAGAATAGTTAATACATTCCGTGCTCACATTCCTCTGGTCATTAAAAACCCAAAGTGCCACATTAACACTTCACCTGGTGAAATCTATCCTAGGACAGCTTAAAAAAAAAAAAAAAAAAGAGAGATCCTTCTAAAACACAGTTATGTAGAGCAAGGCAAAAGATGAGGCATTACAAAAGAAACCCCACCAAATGAAAGAAATCCTTAATTAAATTCATGGTTAAGTGATCAGCACTGAATATTCAGCCAACCTAAAGCCCTGCCAGGAACAGAGATGGTCTAGAAGGGCTCACAGAGTACCATGGGATGCTCCAGTGGAACAGACACACAGTGACACTGAAAAACAGACCCCAGGTGGTTCCAGTTCCCAAATAAGCAAGGAGTGCTTACGCTGCTATGGAAATGTTGGCTGCAGACATGGGGCTCACTTCGGCCACTTCCTTGGCCTTCTGCAGGGCCAGCTTCTGGTTGGTGGCTTCCTCCATCTCCTCCTCGTCCTGAGGGAGAAAACAAGAGAAATCAGGACACACAACAACCCCCAGAGGTCCCCAAGGCATGGCTGGTGTGGGACTGTCACTGCTGTGCTGGGAGAGCGGGGGGAACTCACTGACACGGGGCAGGTTTTTGTATCTCCCTGCAAGGACCCCCGGGCAGGGTCTCGGTGTGAGCTGAGAGGAGAAATGAGAGGTTTGGTCGAGTTCTCCGTGCGTTTTCACCAGGAGCACGTGTCCCTCACAGAGCACTGGTGCCTCTCTGGGGTCTCCTCTCACCCCTGAGCACTGGGCAAAGAGAGCAGGGAGAGCCCCGAGCTGATTGTGAGAGAGGGGGATGAGGAGCATGGCCTGAGACACAGGAACGTTTGTCAGACTCCTGAGAGCACAGTCTGGGCTGGATATTGCATGTCAGGAAACACTGTCCAGGCAGAGCTGGGAGCTGGAGCCACTCCTGCAGCTCCACAGAGGGAAAGACAAGCTGGGACAGACAAACTCAGCCACAACAGGGATGTGGATTTTGACCACGAGTGGGACATTTCTGGGGTGCCCTGAGCCCTCTTCTCCCCAGCCCTGTGTGTGTAAAACCACCCTGAAGCCACGTCCTGCTGAAAGGCAGGAGAGAGGCTCCTAAATCCTCCCTGACTTCTTGTCAGTGGGTGACTTTTCTGAAAGAATAAAGCCAATAAAACCCAATGGGTTTGACTGGTCCCAGCAGTTTCCCCCCAGATATTTCCACTCAGATGAATCACTGAGGACTCAGAGGGTGAAAACAAAAAGGCACAGTATTAAATATGGTCTGTAGACTCAGGCATAGAGCAAAAGAGGGTTCTGTCCATGATTTCTGCACACCATGAGGATTTGAAAGCTCTGCTGGCACAGCAAGGGCCTGCAGAGTGTAATTGGGATTTATTTCCTCCTGCCCAACACGAGAAGCACCACTCAGATTCAAACCACAGGACCTCAAACAACGAGATGAGGGCAAAAAAACAAAGTGCCTGGTTCATCATCAGTGGTCCTGCAGGGTGAACAGCCCCGAGACTTTCCAGCCAGCTAAATTAATATTAAAATCATGTCAGGGTGAGCACAGGAGCTCTGATGGCAACGTCAGCATCACACACGGCCAGGGAATAACCACATGTCACAGGCTCTTCTGTCAAACTTTATGAAAGGCCACAGGTCTCTCCCTCTCTGCCCTTCAACAGCAATGCTGTGAGGGAGTTAATCTTCAAATAACAAGGGCAGGCAGCAAGACATCCAGCTTTGAAATGGGAAATCAGAGATTTATCCACCCCCAGTTCCGTCTGCATCAACAGCCCTTTGCTCTGACTTTGGTGCTCATTTTGAAACTGTTTTCTCCTTTAGAAGTAAAACAGAAAAGGTGGAAAGTTAAGGGGAAAAAAATTGTTAGCATATAAGATTTTTCTTTTTTTTTTTTTTTTCCTTTTTCAAATGTTAGCAAACACAACAAGGCAATTCTTAGTGCAGTGAATGGAGGACTTGAGCCAGGCCATGAAAAAATGACCTGCTGAGCAATTACACAAAGTCAATATTTCTCAGGTGCCAAATTGCAGTAAATTTATCACTGGTTTGGAGGCTGGTTGGAGATCCAGGGGGGTTCATAGTTTAACCCTGGCCAGCAGCTGCTCACTCACACCCACCCTGGTGGGATGGGGGAGAAAGTCAGAGGAGTATAAGTAATGAAATTCATGGATTGAGATAAAGACAATTTAATAGGGAGAGTAAAAGCCAGGAAGACAAGCAAAGAAAGGAATTAAATCCCATTTCCCATCACAGGCAGCCCTGTGATCACATCCCTGAGCCCTGCCCAGGACATCAGGGCTCCATCACATGCAGCAGTGACTGGGAAGGACAAAGTCCAGCCCTCCAAAGATCCCTCCTTTCCTCCTTCTCCCCCAGCTTTATGTGCTGAGCATAAATCCATATATTCTGGAACATCCCATGGGTCAGTTGGATCAGTTTTGCCCTCCCAAATCCTTGTGCACCCCCAACCTCCCCCCCAGGCTCTGTAAATGCTGCTCAGCACTAATAAAACATCCCATTTCCAGCCCAAAGCCAAATCCCAGCCATCAGCTACTGTGATAAAAAATTAACTCTACCCCACCTAGCCCATCACAAACCTGCAGAATATAAGATTTTTTAATGAATAAAACCCCAATTAAAAGGCTTTTAAGGATTTCCTTTCACCCCCCCAGGTATGTTCAAGTTGTTTCCTCTCTTGAGGAATCTCCAACAGCCTTAAAATCAAAGGCTCTTTTTTTCTTTCTTTCCACCAAGAGCACCAGGTGCAGTTTTTAAAATGGCTTTAAAATGTGTAGCTTCTGCTCTGTCCCCCCTGGTGCCTCAGGAATTCTGCTGGATTCCACATCGTGAGGTACCAGCAAAAAATACCCATTGTGTTGTTGTAAATTCAGCCATCCCTAACTCAGAACGAGCCCACTCTTTAGCAGATATTTAATGATATTATTTAATAATAATACTATTTAGAGTATTTAAAAGATTAATATTTATCTAGCAGACTACTTAATAATATTTCTGTAGCTCCTCCCATAGAGAAATTGCAGATCACTCCAAAAATTAACTAATTTTTTGCCTGATATTTGACCTGAGAGGTCTCACTGGAGCTCTGATGGCAACATCCATCCATCCATCCATCCATCCATCCCACCTCCACCACCAGCCCAGCCTGTCACCCTCATTCCACATAAAGTGCACATAAAGGTCTTCCCTATAAGGACATCCCTCTTTTATGATTCCTTTCTGTTTTCTAGAGCCCTAAATCTTAATTTAAACCAGTTTACCACATGGCAAACCCCACTTTTGGAGCTAATCACGATGATAGAGATCATTAACACTGCCTGTTCTTTAATAAGTTCACCAATTAAAGCCCTCACTGTTGGGGGGGGGGAGGAGGAGAGGGATCCATGGATGTTCAGCTCTTGGTTTGGCTGCTCCAGGATATTATTTCTGGGAATTTCTCAACACTTTCATACATTTTTATGTCAAATTCACACATCCCTCCTACCCCCCCATTCCATGGTTTTATCCTGGGTTCTCAGGGATCACTGAGATCAAAAATAACCACTTTGTGCTTTTAAGATGTTTAGGAAAATAAAGGGTCAGTTTTGGTGGCTTTACACTCAAGGTTGGTGAGGATGAAGGAACTGCTTTGTCTCAATCCATGAATTTATCTCAATCCATAAGTGACAAAATTCATGGATTGAGATAAAGACACTTCAATAGGGAAAGTACAAGCCATGAAGACAAGCAAAGAAAGGAATTAAAGGTGGGATGGTCAGGGGAGAGAAGATTTTAAAAGCAAATTTGGGGGGCAATTGTAGATTCCATCTCAATAAGTGAACAGGGAGAAAAACCTGCCAATATTTGGGAAAAAATAGAGGGTAGAGAACCCAGAGGCATTTAGAAGAGTTCCCAGAAATCACTAGAAATTGGGTTGTCAGAGTTTGAGTCAGTGGGAAGGGAAGAAAAGGGCAGCACAGAAGAGGAGGGGAGAGAGCAGGTTCTTTATAGATTGAAAACAAAGGTGATTCTTTTTTATCCCCTCCTTTTTATGAGTCATTCCTAAGCTCTGGTGAGTTTTGTAACACGCACTGGATGACCAAGCTTAAGTTAAATATAGTTCCAATTCCGAGAATTCCTTTACAGGTCACAAGGCCCAGGTAAGAAACGGTCACAATGCCACGCTAAATAAATCCCCACTATCATTCAAAAAGTGGAAATCTCGGCTGAAATGTTCAGTCCTGAGGCTGGAGAGCTTTGTGTCTTCCCAAAACAGAGGCAGCTGCCAACTGCTCCTGGTTTGCCCACATTATGTGCAGCACTGATCTCCATTTGCAGCATAAATGTCAAAAAAGTCCCCCGAGATCAACAGACTCCTGAGTAACTTAATTGTGTCTCTGGGCCATTTTTTGCTTTTGCATGATCATATTTACTTAGCAGGAAATCCCTCATTCTCCAGGTATGTGTATAATTGAATTACTTTTATCTTTTTCCTCTTCTTTTGCAAGCCCTGGTGATTTTTATTTTTTTTTTTTAGGATCGTAAATAAAATTAAGCAAAAGAAAAAAAAAAAAGAGAGTTTCTCAAGAAGCTTTCTGCTTTGGCCATGCTGCTGAATCCATCAATATTTAATTATACTTTATAAACATCAACAAAGTCAGGTTTTTAAGTGGCCCTGTCAGCTGCTGAAATATTCACAAGAAAGCACTTAAAGGATTAAGAAAGAAGCAGGATGAGCTTCATTATCAAAGAATTGTGCCAGGCCTGCTCCTCTCTTAGCACATGCAAGGGATTCCCATAAATCTGGGAGGATCTGTGCCTCCAGGCTGGAGATTTCTGGGAGTGTTAGAAAGAATAGAAACAGCTGAGCTGCTGAAAGGGAAAAAATTCCCAGGAAAAATAAACCAAAGAGCCACTAAATGCAGCCCTGAGCTGATTGTGAGAGAGGGGGATGAGGAGCATGGCCTGAGACACGGGAACGTTTGTCAGACTCCTGAGAGCACAGTCTGGGCTGGATATTGCATGTCAGGAAACACTCTCCAGGCAGAGCTGGGAGCTGGAGCCACTCCTGCAGCTCCACAGAGGGAAAGACAAGCTGGGAAAGAGAAACTCAGCCACAATAGGGATGTGGATTCTGACTGGGGGGTGGGAAATGCTGAGAAATCTGTGTGTGCCTGAGGTGTATCCATAGAACCATGGAGGCTGGAAAACACTCCAGGATCATCAAGTCAACCCAGCACTGCCAGGTCCACCACTAATCCATGTCCAGAGAAGGGCAACGAGGCTGGGGAAGGGTCTGGAGCACAAGTGCTGTGAGGAGAGGCTGAGGGAGCTGGGGGGGCTCAGCCTGGACAGGAGGAGGCTCAGGGGAGACCTTCTCACTCTCTGCAACTCCCTGCCAGGAGGGGGGAGCCGGGGGGGGTCGGGCTCTGCTGCCAGGAACCAGCAGCAGGACAAGAGGGCACAGCCTTGAGCTGCCCCAGGGCAGGTTTAGGTTGGCCATTGGGCAGAAGTTGTTTGCAGAGAGAGGGATCAGCCCTTGGAATGGGCTGCCCAGGGAGGGGGTGGAGTCCCCGTCCCTGGAGGGGTTTGAGCAGAGCCTGGATGTGGCATCAGTGCCATGGTCTGGGTGACAAGGTGGGGTTGGGTCACGGGTTGGACTCGATGATCTCAGAGGTCTTTCCCAGCCTGGTTGATTCCGTGATTGATTCAGCACCACATCCACACCTTTTGAACACTTCCATTGAATCTTAGAATGGTTTGGGTTGGAAAGGACCTTAAAGACCATCTCATTCCACCCCCTGCCCTACGCAGGGACACCTTCCACTGGACCAAGTTGCTCCAACCTGGCCTTGGACACTTCCAGGGTTGGGGAATGAACTCCTGCACCTTCCTACAACTCCAACAAGAGAAAACATCCTTGCCCACTGCAGCAGCACATGGTTAATGACCTTCTTCTACTGCAAAGAACAGAGAAATCCTGTAAAACCCAACCCCTGAGGTGCTTGTGGTGCTGCTTTTGCCCCTGTGACTGATGCCAAGGGCAGTGTTACCAAACAAGTTACGATTCTTTAAGAAAGAGTCTCTGCAGCAGTGGGAGATGTTGGGAAATTCCTTTACCAACAGTGTGTGGTCCCTCTGTCTGTGGTTGATGCTTGGGTTTGTACCACACAGAGCTCAGGACAAATGCCAAAGATCAGGGTGGCCTTGGGGTAGCTCCCTAAATCCATGACTGGTAAGTTTTGTGCCAGCTACCATTCTCATTATTTACTTATATTAGTGATTAATATGTCCTGGGAGGTGTCTTAGTTTTGAGAACATTGATGGAGTGTTGGAGCAAAGAATGATTAAAGAAGTGCAGCATGACCTGAGCACATATTCGAGATACTCCCATGGAAAGGAGATACACCAGAAGATCCAGGAGCATAAAAGGGAATTTCGGGGAATGGGATGTACCCAAATGACAACCAAAGCCCCTGGAAAGACCCCTATTGGTATCCAAAAAAGTTCCCTGAAATAATTAGCATATATTCAGGTATTAATGAAATATAATTAACATGCAATATAAATGTGATGAGTATGTATTACTGCCATGGATATAACCTGGGCTGGGGGGTTGCTGCTCATGAAAGCTTTGAGGAATAATCCCCATGCATCCAGCACTGCAATAGAGTATTTTTGGCTTTCTAACCCCAAAAAAAGCTGGTTGCAGAGTTTATTTCCCGGGTTTCAGCGGCAGCAGCAGCACAGCAATGGGGGTTCATGGTTTTATCAGTGAGAACAAACTGGAAATGTGCAAAATGTGCAGAAAAAACCCCTCATGCTGCTCATAAACACGTCTGAGTGTGGTACAATGGCAAACCCAAAGTATGTAATAATACAAATATCAGGGGCAGTGCACTTGAAATGCTTCTTGTGCAATCCTGAGGCTGCCAGTTTTTCTCCATAGGGAATGCTCCAATAGAAATCTTCTCCACAGGGGATACTCCAATATAAATCTGTATATATATAGATATATATCTCTACCCAAAATTCCGCATACACTGAAGTTCCATCAGTGTCATTTCCATCCCTTGCCAGGACCTGGCTCTTTGCCTGTGCTCAGGTTGGTGCCTCAGGTTTCTCTTACCCTGGTGAGGGGCAGGAAGGTTTAACGCCTTCACTGGGTGTTCCAAACACCCTCTGCAAGTTCCAGGGGGTTGACTGGAAAATTTTAATCCTTTAATCCACCCCAAACCTCAGCAAGGGAAGAAACACGAGTGCGAGACCGCAAACGCAGCGACACAACCCCTGCCTTTGCTCATCCTGAGTTTCAGCTCAGCCCAAACCTGGGAATTGCTTCTCCTCTGCTCTTGGAAACAGCAGAAGTGCCTGAGCACCTCCCCACAGCAGTGAGATGAGCAATGCCCACTGCCCACTCTGTGATGAAACAAAGGAAAGGGCACGAAATATTCACTGCAACGAGCCTGGAATGAAACAAAACCCCGAGAAGAATAAACCTCCTGGCCCTGCTCTGCTGGGAAAGCTGGTGAACAGAGATATGGCATGAGCAGGCTCATTATCAGGTGTAATTTGGGGTCATCAGCTGCTCTCTGAGTTGGAAGAAACAGGAATCTCATCCCTACCTTGGTCAGCTCCTGGGCGTTTGCCAAGTTGTCCACAGCGATGGCCAGGAAGACGTTCAGGAGGGTGTCTTTTGGGAGGCAGATAAGGAAAAACTCCTCACCCAGCAGGCACAGCCAACTGTCCCCCTTCTGCTGCCACCACCCTTCTTTTCCCATTTATGGATTATGGATTATGGATTGACTCCCTGCACCAGTGCTGTGCCATCATTCCCAATCCACCCCCTCTGCCTGGAGCTCTGCAGCCCAGGAGGTGCTGGACATCCACTTATCTCCTCCCTGGTGGGGACACACACAGGGGCTGAGCAGGGGGGCTTTACAAGCCCTAGAGACACCACAGCCCCTGGTTTTCCACTCTGGAAACCCCCCCCCCCCCCCCCCCCCCCC